TTGTGTGTGAGATTGTGTGGTTTTTGGTGTGGAATGGTTATTGTTGTTGGTTGTCGTTTATGCGTGTGAGTATGTGTATGTGCGTGTGAGGGTTCAGTGATGTTGTTGTTCGTTGAGTTTATTAGTGGGGTGTGTATTTGTGAGTTTTGTTGTTTAGTTGTGTTGGCGGAGATATGTGAGTTGAGATAGTATTTGTTGTTGTGTGGTAGGTAATTTGTAGGTGGTTTTGTCAGTGGTTTGTTTTGTGTTGTTGATTGAGTGTGCCCACCATGATAAGATCACACGTTGTGTTGGTCTGACGATTGGGCGAAGATTGATTTGCCTTGACAGATCTACGCATGGTCGTGTTGCTTTGACCGTGTGCGTGAACCGTCTTGGTACATGCTGTCGACATAGTAGTATATGTTGAGAGTGTTGTGTATTGGTGTGGTGTGCGTTTCGGTTTGTGTATGTTGGTTGTGCGTGTGGTGGGTGTGATTGAATGAAAGCACACCAAGTCAGCTGCATTCGATGACGTATCGAGGTTAGCAGTGTTACATGTGTGCGAGAGAGACGTGCAATAGTCGACGTTCGGAGTATCCTCCATGTCACATTGCGACATATTTGGTGTTGTTGGTTGTGAGATGTAGAGTGATTGTGTGTGAGATTGTGTGGTTTTTGGTGTGGAATGGTTATTGTTGTTGGTTGTCGTTTATGCGTGTGAGTATGTGTATGTGCGTGTGAGGGTTCAGTGATGTTGTTGTTCGTTGAGTTTATTAGTGGGGTGTGTATTTGTGAGTTTTGTTGTTTAGTTGTGTTGGCGGAGATATGTGAGTTGAGATAGTATTTGTTGTTGTGTGGTAGGTAATTTGTAGGTGGTTTTGTCAGTGGTTTGTTTTGTGTTGTTGATTGAGTGTGCCCACCATGATAAGATCACACGTTGTGTTGGTCTGACGATTGGGCGAAGATTGATTTGCCTTGACAGATCTACGCATGGTCGTGTTGCTTTGACCGTGTGCGTGAACCGTCTTGGTACATGCTGTCGACATAGTAGTATATGTTGAGAGTGTTGTGTATTGGTGTGGTGTGCGTTTCGGTTTGTGTATGTTGGTTGTGCGTGTGGTGGGTGTGATTGAATGAAAGCACACCAAGTCAGCTGCATTCGATGACGTATCGAGGTTAGCAGTGTTACATGTGTGCGAGAGAGACGTGCAATAGTCGACGTTCGGAGTATCCTCCATGTCACATTGCGACATATTTGGTGTTGTTGGTTGTGAGATGTAGAGTGATTGTGTGTGAGATTGTGTGGTTTTTGGTGTGGAATGGTTATTGTTGTTGGTTGTCGTTTATGCGTGTGAGTATGTGTATGTGCGTGTGAGGGTTCAGTGATGTTGTTGTTCGTTGAGTTTATTAGTGGGGTGTGTATTTGTGAGTTTTGTTGTTTAGTTGTGTTGGCGGAGATATGTGAGTTGAGATAGTATTTGTTGTTGTGTGGTAGGTAATTTGTAGGTGGTTTTGTCAGTGGTTTGTTTTGTGTTGTTGATTGAGTGTGCCCACCATGATAAGATCACACGTTGTGTTGGTCTGACGATTGGGCGAAGATTGATTTGCCTTGACAGATCTACGCATGGTCGTGTTGCTTTGACCGTGTGCGTGAACCGTCTTGGTACATGCTGTCGACATAGTAGTATATGTTGAGAGTGTTGTGTATTGGTGTGGTGTGCGTTTCGGTTTGTGTATGTTGGTTGTGCGTGTGGTGGGTGTGATTGAATGAAAGCACACCAAGTCAGCTGCATTCGATGACGTATCGAGGTTAGCAGTGTTACATGTGTGCGAGAGAGACGTGCAATAGTCGACGTTCGGAGTATCCTCCATGTCACATTGCGACATATTTGGTGTTGTTGGTTGTGAGATGTAGAGTGATTGTGTGTGAGATTGTGTGGTTTTTGGTGTGGAATGGTTATTGTTGTTGGTTGTCGTTTATGCGTGTGAGTATGTGTATGTGCGTGTGAGGGTTCAGTGATGTTGTTGTTCGTTGAGTTTATTAGTGGGGTGTGTATTTGTGAGTTTTGTTGTTTAGTTGTGTTGGCGGAGATATGTGAGTTGAGATAGTATTTGTTGTTGTGTGGTAGGTAATTTGTAGGTGGTTTTGTCAGTGGTTTGTTTTGTGTTGTTGATTGAGTGTGCCCACCATGATAAGATCACACGTTGTGTTGGTCTGACGATTGGGCGAAGATTGATTTGCCTTGACAGATCTACGCATGGTCGTGTTGCTTTGACCGTGTGCGTGAACCGTCTTGGTACATGCTGTCGACATAGTAGTATATGTTGAGAGTGTTGTGTATTGGTGTGGTGTGCGTTTCGGTTTGTGTATGTTGGTTGTGCGTGTGGTGGGTGTGATTGAATGAAAGCACACCAAGTCAGCTGCATTCGATGACGTATCGAGGTTAGCAGTGTTACATGTGTGCGAGAGAGACGTGCAATAGTCGACGTTCGGAGTATCCTCCATGTCACATTGCGACATATTTGGTGTTGTTGGTTGTGAGATGTAGAGTGATTGTGTGTGAGATTGTGTGGTTTTTGGTGTGGAATGGTTATTGTTGTTGGTTGTCGTTTATGCGTGTGAGTATGTGTATGTGCGTGTGAGGGTTCAGTGATGTTGTTGTTCGTTGAGTTTATTAGTGGGGTGTGTATTTGTGAGTTTTGTTGTTTAGTTGTGTTGGCGGAGATATGTGAGTTGAGATAGTATTTGTTGTTGTGTGGTAGGTAATTTGTAGGTGGTTTTGTCAGTGGTTTGTTTTGTGTTGTTGATTGAGTGTGCCCACCATGATAAGATCACACGTTGTGTTGGTCTGACGATTGGGCGAAGATTGATTTGCCTTGACAGATCTACGCATGGTCGTGTTGCTTTGACCGTGTGCGTGAACCGTCTTGGTACATGCTGTCGACATAGTAGTATATGTTGAGAGTGTTGTGTATTGGTGTGGTGTGCGTTTCGGTTTGTGTATGTTGGTTGTGCGTGTGGTGGGTGTGATTGAATGAAAGCACACCAAGTCAGCTGCATTCGATGACGTATCGAGGTTAGCAGTGTTACATGTGTGCGAGAGAGACGTGCAATAGTCGACGTTCGGAGTATCCTCCATGTCACATTGCGACATATTTGGTGTTGTTGGTTGTGAGATGTAGAGTGATTGTGTGTGAGATTGTGTGGTTTTTGGTGTGGAATGGTTATTGTTGTTGGTTGTCGTTTATGCGTGTGAGTATGTGTATGTGCGTGTGAGGGTTCAGTGATGTTGTTGTTCGTTGAGTTTATTAGTGGGGTGTGTATTTGTGAGTTTTGTTGTTTAGTTGTGTTGGCGGAGATATGTGAGTTGAGATAGTATTTGTTGTTGTGTGGTAGGTAATTTGTAGGTGGTTTTGTCAGTGGTTTGTTTTGTGTTGTTGATTGAGTGTGCCCACCATGATAAGATCACACGTTGTGTTGGTCTGACGATTGGGCGAAGATTGATTTGCCTTGACAGATCTACGCATGGTCGTGTTGCTTTGACCGTGTGCGTGAACCGTCTTGGTACATGCTGTCGACATAGTAGTATATGTTGAGAGTGTTGTGTATTGGTGTGGTGTGCGTTTCGGTTTGTGTATGTTGGTTGTGCGTGTGGTGGGTGTGATTGAATGAAAGCACACCAAGTCAGCTGCATTCGATGACGTATCGAGGTTAGCAGTGTTACATGTGTGCGAGAGAGACGTGCAATAGTCGACGTTCGGAGTATCCTCCATGTCACATTGCGACATATTTGGTGTTGTTGGTTGTGAGATGTAGAGTGATTGTGTGTGAGATTGTGTGGTTTTTGGTGTGGAATGGTTATTGTTGTTGGTTGTCGTTTATGCGTGTGAGTATGTGTATGTGCGTGTGAGGGTTCAGTGATGTTGTTGTTCGTTGAGTTTATTAGTGGGGTGTGTATTTGTGAGTTTTGTTGTTTAGTTGTGTTGGCGGAGATATGTGAGTTGAGATAGTATTTGTTGTTGTGTGGTAGGTAATTTGTAGGTGGTTTTGTCAGTGGTTTGTTTTGTGTTGTTGATTGAGTGTGCCCACCATGATAAGATCACACGTTGTGTTGGTCTGACGATTGGGCGAAGATTGATTTGCCTTGACAGATCTACGCATGGTCGTGTTGCTTTGACCGTGTGCGTGAACCGTCTTGGTACATGCTGTCGACATAGTAGTATATGTTGAGAGTGTTGTGTATTGGTGTGGTGTGCGTTTCGGTTTGTGTATGTTGGTTGTGCGTGTGGTGGGTGTGATTGAATGAAAGCACACCAAGTCAGCTGCATTCGATGACGTCGTTTGTCGTGCGATGGAACGGCATTTACGATTTTTTTTCTGTCTTTTATTCCTGTGATTTTTTTTTTTTTTAATTTTTATTGGTGTTGTGTGATTCTTGGTAATATTTGTATGTATGGATTGTCAAGATAATCCTCTAAAATTGCAAATTTTATTTTTATGGAAAACGATTGGCTGGTCTTTATTGTCCCATCTGGTGTGAACCGTCTACACATCCAGCTTCCATGTGTCCTTCTCTAAATGTATGTTGTTGCCATACAATTTCCGGAATTTTCGAAACACCGGATTCTCCAAACCGCAGAGGCTACTGCACTTTTCCTTTAACAACTAGTGTTCTGTGTTAAAAAGCAGCAATTCCAGCACCCTGTTAATGCACTGGCCTTCCGTGTTGACTATAAATTGATGAATTTTTCATATAATCTTTTTGAGTTTTCTTACATTTAGCTTTTATGTTGATGCTCTTGTGGTATCGATTCTATGTTATTAATACAATTAGGTTGTTCATAACACTAATTCATTCATTCACTTTAATATCTATGTACCCTTAGATCCTGATGATGAAGTTTCTCGAAAAGAGTACTTTTTGTTGAGTATCTATTCTTTATTTTTATGGTTTATTTTTGATTATTTGTGAGGATTTTTTGTTAGTTTTGTATGTTTGTTTTGTTCTCTCTCATAGGATGTTTGCCCAAATCTCACAGTTTTACTTTTGGATGTCCATACCTTTCGGAGGAATGATTCTCAGTCCACGCATGCTTTATGTATTTTCGATGTGCTGCTACGTATTGGACTTATTAAAGATTTATTTGAAGAAGAATTATATTTCCAATATGGTGACAGTTTATCTGCTACATTTTCCATTGATTTCACTTGTTGTGATACCTTATTGGATAGATGTGATTTCTCTGTTGTCGATTGGTTTGTGTCACCTCTTAGAACTCTGGTAGATGATGATTCCTTCGGGCGTAGAAAATGTTGCGGTTGCTCTGTTGATGCGCTGGTTCCAAACTGGGTTACTGTATTGTGTTTACCACACATTAGGTATGGTTTATTTCTCTGTTCATTTTGTTTTAAATTTTCATTACTGTTAGATGTTTACCTGAATGTTCGCCTAGAAAGTGGTAGTTCGTTGTTGATAGTCACAAAATTTGTTGTGAACTTCAGCAAATCTTTCTCAATATTTTCATGCTATTTATGTCGCTTAGTTACAGGGTTCACTCTTATGTGTTAGCAGTAAAAGACATTACCACACTTACCATCTGCTAAATGTTTTCGTGACTATACATCATTATTAATGCTGAATTATCTGGTGTACTCTAGGTCTTCTGTAACTAAAGCGGTTTTTTCTTTATTTTGGGGTGTTATTAAGCACTTTTTGGTTGACATTTGTATTTCGATTGATCCGTTTATGATCTCTTTAGTGTAGTGCATCATATTCCTCGTTATTTTGAAGACCGGTTCAAAATAGCAGCTTCCAGGGCCTTCTAATGCTTTGTTGTAATAATATCAAGATTCACTCTGAAATATTTTAGTTTCATTGTCGCCTTCTTTGAAAGAAGATTAATCCACTGCAGTATTTTTCTCGAGTTTCAAATAATTGAAGTCGGTTGTACATCTGCCACTTAGTTGAAACAGTAATTAATTTGTTACAGGTGTGTGCTAATTAGTTCTTGGTGTATTTATATATCATGTGAAAACTTCTGGTACTACTGTCTCCCATCTCCAGCTCAGTTGCGACGTTAGCCCGGCTATCAAAGAGCGGTGCGCACAGTCTTCCTCTACGAGCGTGAAGATATGCAGTGTCTGTGTGTATTCGATCGTCTACGTCTCGGTAGAATTGCTCGCATCACTGTGTGAGTAATTTTAAGTTCTAGCATCATGATTTCGGACACAGTGGAGATCACCACTCATCGAATGTTGTCATCTGGAAACAGTGGCTTCGACAATTTGAACATATGCTACTACCGTCATACAACAGACTTCCGTAGCGATCTCTGTTCGTTATCCCTAGGACTGGATAAAAACCGTGGAGGGCTGGTCATCTGATGACTTGGTGCCGCGGGAGGAAGGATTTTTGTGCTAGGTAAACATTAATTGATGCATCACGATTCCGTAGTTGGTGTGTAAGAGAGATAATTCAAAACGCTATCAAATATTTCCATTTTTTGAAAGGATATATATATGGCTAACCTTTCAGGGTCGATTGAGCAATGGTGATTTTTATTTACATTTTAGCGGTTAGTGAGTAGTAGTCTGAGGTTAGTGGAAAACTGAGTTGTAGTTAATTGTATATATGGCTTTGATTCAACACTGAATTCATGTTTTAACTTATACACTAGTTCATTTGTGTAGGTGTATACATTAGGCTAAAATGTTTGTTCTCCGCGTTTTATACTTAACAGACCTTTACCATTGGAACAAGTTAACGAACTGTTAACAAAAGCGTTTGAAAACCTTATAATTGCCCTGCCTAATTTGAGTGAATCCGACAAAACAGGTTAGATTATAATTATAATTATTGAAAATTATCATCAGTATATCAAATATGTATAAGTAAATTTTTACTTATTATTCATTTTATGCCTTTTGTGTTCCGAGTGGAACTTAGTTCTTAAAGCTGGAGTTTTGAAGTTTCAGTAGCAGTGGTTTAAGTTCTACAGGATGGAGTTACTAGTCTAACATCCAATCTCCCCTCTTCGCGGGTCTTACTACCAATTAAGTGTGGTTTAGGAGAATGTATTGGCCGAGGGTCGAACCTAGAACCAGATGCGTGGCTGGCGAGCATTTTATTGCTACACCGCCAACACAGGTGTATATAAATAGTAATGCTAATTATGACCTCTGTTCAATTGCACTCAGCTCAAGTGCTTGGAACAGTAGCACATAGTTCCCGTGAAATATTATTTCATTGTATACACTGTTATCACTAATTACTACACTATGCTCAATTATTACTGTAACTGTTGGGAAGTTAACAATGGGCAGTTTTTCGCTGACAGTCCACAATCATGAAAAAGACAATAATATACATTCCTTCGTCGCGAACTCGTCGCCTCCATGCACCTGCATTCCCCAGAGACTAATAGTGTTCCCACTGAATGTCGGACCTATTACACATAGTTTCAAACACTGAAGCCTTATCCACTGGATCACTTAGGCCATGAGAACGACTTGTTGTGCAGTGGGTATCCGCTATTATTCATTTCAATTTTCTTTGTCCTAAATTTTCTCTGTTTTATTCTGAAATTTTCAAAATACGGAAAAGATTTACATTTGAACAAGGTGGAAAAGCAATGCATACTCCGATTATTGGCAGTTGTTGAAGCTGTACATAAACTCCGTCCAACAACACTGCAGTTATTTAGAAGTTGCGGACTGTTTGCTACCGCCGAATGCTTCAGTAAATTAATTTCCATTGCAAGGTAAGCCATATTTCTCGTCTTCTTTAAAATCGAAACTTAATAAATAAAAAAATACATTAATAAAAGTGAATTTTAATTTGGAAATACTTCTATTATACCCAACTCTTAACAAGAAGCTTAATCCACTTCCAGAAAAAACCATAAAAGAGGAATACAAGTATATGAATATGCATAATCAGCGAGATTCCTGACTGAAATTATTTCTCAAATGTCGGAGAGAAATAACCTCAAAAATGAAAGAAACCGCAATAGTTCACTTCCTTGAAAAACCAGAATAACGAATATAAAAATCAAGACATCAGTCATCATTAGGATAATCACCATCCTAATACCACAATCACCTATTCAAAATATGCCCAAACAGTACAAATAATACGTACAAACTCAGTTCCGTGTGAAATTGAGTAAGCACAACAAGATGACCGCTTCACAAAAAGAGAGTCAAATTCCAATCAAACAACTAATTCCTACAATCTACTGATCTAACTCATCAAAAAAGAAATATATATTTTAATGAAATTAACCTAACGTAATTCTCAGAAAGTACCCCAGTAACTAGAAAGAGCGACACGAGAACATCACTTCCATAACGAATAAAATATAAGGTCAGGGAAAAAAACGGAGTGCGTAGTGACCAGACACATTATTCTCCGAGACATATCTCCTCAGAATGTCTGTTTGTATCAACAGTAGACTTGTGCTAATAATATATGTTTGAATGCGGGAATTCGAAAGTCCGTGTACAAATGTATCACTGTTTGTGATTGATAACTTCCCTAGTGTTAGAGTTTTCCGGTCGCATATAGTGGTAGCAGTTGTTGCTATTCTTCTTCGTCTTGGTGTGTTGCTGTCATTCCTTCGAAGTTGTAAATGTCGGCTATTTGTGTCGTGTTGTTGCGGTTGTATCGGTTTTACTTGTTGTTGTTCCTCTGTATGATGATTGTTGAAGTGATGATTGAGAATAGGTGGTGTGATTTATGTTTTGTTTGAGATAATGGTGGTTGTGTATAGAAGGTGTGTTTGAGGAGATAGACTAGCATGTGATGATGTGTGTTGGTTTTTGTTGTCTGTTGCGGTAGTGTAGGATGCGATGGGGTGTGTGATTGCATAGTGTGACGTGTTTCGTAGGAGGTGTGGGTGTATATGTGACGGTGTGTCGCCTGTTATTGTTGAGGAGGCGTGATGTGGTGTTGTTCAGCTGCACTCTTGACCTACATTGTTGGGTTGAATTTGACTGCTGCTATATTGAGTTGTACCCTTGCCTCTTACTCCCACTGATTGTGGTAGTCCATCATCGAGGGTAGACAATTTTGTTGTGATGAGGGTTTTGTTTAGGTTTGTGTAATGTTTGTGTCTGTGTTGGCGTATGTTTGTATGTGAAGTAGAGTTGTGCCCATTGTGTATGTTTGAATGGGCGAATACAAATATCTGTGTATCACACCGGTGGAGTTTGTCTCTGTTTCCGGGTTGGAGCACAGGAACATTGTGTATATTGACTGGATGTGTTGACGGTGTGTTCCGGAGTATTGGTGATAGTGTTTTGCTGGTACGTGTTAGTTTGTGGAGATTGACGAGTGCTTGTGTGTATGTGTTGGCGATTTTGTATTGGCGGTGTTGTTAGTGTTAGAGTTTCGCGCTCTGTTCTAGTATTAGTAGTAGTAGTAGTAGTAGTAGTAGTAGTAGTAGATGCTGTAGTTGTTGTTGTTGTTGGTGGTGGTGGTGTTGGCGTGGTGTTGTGATTGTTTCGATGTCGTATATATCGGCTATTTGTGTCGTGTTGTTATGGTTGTATCGGTTTTAATTGTTGTTGTTGTTGTGTATGATGATTGTTGAAGTGATGATTGAGAATAGGCGGTGTGATTTATGTTTTGTTTGAGATAATGGTGGTTGTGTATAGAAGGTGTGTTTGAGGAGATAGACTAGCATGTGATGATGTGTGTTGGTTTTTGTTGTCTGTTGCGGTAGTGTAGGATGCGATGGGGTGTGTTATTGCATAGTGTGACGTGTTTCGTAGGAGGTGTGGGTGTAAATGTGACGGTGTGTCGCCTGTTATTGTTGAGGAGGCGTGATGTGGTGTTGTGCAGCTGCACTCTTGACCTACATTGTTGGGTTGAATTTGACTGCTGCTATATTGAGTTGTACCCTTGCCTCTTACTCCCACTGATTGTGGTAGTCCATCATCGAGGGTAGACAATTTTGTTGTGATGAGGGTTTTGTTTAGGTTTGTGTAATGTTTGTGTCTGTGTTGGCGTATGTTTGTATGTGAAGTAGAGTTGTGCCCATTGTGTATGTTTGAATGGGCGAATACAAATATCTGTGTATCACACCGGTGGAGTTTGTCTCTGTTTCCGGGTTGGAGCACAGGAACATTGTGTATATTGACTGGATGTGTTGACGGTGTGTTCCGGAGTATTGGTGATAGTGTTTTGCTGGTACGTGTTAGTTTGTGGAGATTGACGAGTGCTTGTGTGTATGTGTTGGCGATTTTGTATTGGCGGTGTTGTTAGTGTTAGAGTTTCGCGCTCTGTTCTAGTATTAGTAGTAGTAGTAGTAGTAGTGGTAGTAGTAGTAGTAGCTGTAGTTGTTGTTGTTGTTGGTGGTGGTGGTGTTGGCGTGGTGTTGTGATTGTTTCGATGTCGTATATATCGGCTATTTGTGTCGTGTTGTTATGGTTGTATCGGTTTTAATTGTTGTTGTTGTTGTTGTGTATGATGATTGTTGAAGTGATGATTGAGAATAGGTGGTGTGATTTATGTTTTGTTTGAGATAATGGTGGTTGTGTATAGAAGGTGTGTTTGAGGAGATAGACTAGCATGTGATGATGTGTGTTGGTTTTTGTTGTCTGTTGCGGTAGTGTAGGATGCGATGGGGTGTGTGATTGCATAGTGTGACGTGTTTCGTAGGAGGTGTGGGTGTAAATGTGACGGTGTGTCGCCTGTTATTGTTGAGGAGGCGTGATGTGGTGTTGTGCAGCTGCACTCTTGACCTACATTGTTGGGTTGAATTTGACTGCTGCTATATTGAGTTGTACCCTTGCCTCTTACTCCCACTGATTGTGGTAGTCCATCATCGAGGGTAGACAATTTTGTTGTGATGAGGGTTTTGTTTAGGTTTGTGTAATGTTTGTGTCTGTGTTGGCGTATGTTTGTATGTGAAGTAGAGTTGTGCCCATTGTGTATGTTTGAATGGGCGAATACAAATATCTGTGTATCACACCGGTGGAGTTTGTCTCTGTTTCCGGGTTGGAGCACAGGAACATTGTGTATATTGACTGGATGTGTTGACGGTGTGTTCCGGAGTATTGGTGATAGTGCTTTGCTGGTACGTGTTAGTTTGTGGAGATTGACGAGTGCTTGTGTGTATGTGTTGGCGATTTTGTATTGGCGGTGTTGTTAGTGTTAGAGTTTCGCGCTCTGTTCTAGTATTAGTAGTAGTAGTAGTAGTGGTAGTAGTAGTAGAAGCTGTAGTTGTTGTTGTTGTTGGTGGTGGTGGTGTTGGCGTGGTGTTGTGATTGTTTCGATGTCGTATATATCGGCTATTTGTGTCGTGTTGTTATGGTTGTATCGGTTTTAATTGTTGTTGTTGTTGTGTATGATGATTGTTGAAGTGATGATTGAGAATAGGTGGTGTGATTTATGTTTTGTTTGAGATAATGGTGGTTGTGTATAGAAGGTGTGTTTGAGGAGATAGACTAGCATGTGATGATGTGTGTTGGTTTTTGTTGTCTGTTGCGGTAGTGTAGGATGCGATGGGGTGTGTGATTGCATAGTGTGACGTGTTTCGTAGGAGGTGTGGGTGTATATGTGACGGTGTGTCGCCTGTTATTGTTGAGGAGGCGTGATGTGGTGTTGTGCAGCTGCACTCTTGACCTACATTGTTGGGTTGAATTTGACTGCTGCTATATTGAGTTGTACCCTTGCCTCTTACTCCCACTGATTGTGGTAGTCCATCATCGAGGGTAGACAATTTTGTTGTGATGAGGGTTTTGTTTAGGTTTGTGTAATGTTTGTGTCTGTGTTGGCGTATGTTTGTATGTGAAGTAGAGTTGTGCCCATTGTGTATGTTTGAATGGGCGAATACAAATATCTGTGTATCACACCGGTGGAGTTTGTCTCTGTTTCCGGGTTGGAGCACAGGAACATTGTGTATATTGACTGGATGTGTTGACGGTGTGTTCCGGAGTATTGGTGATAGTGCTTTGCTGGTACGTGTTAGTTTGTGGAGATTGACGAGTGCTTGTGTGTATGTGTTGGCGATTTTGTATTGGCGGTGTTGTTAGTGTTAGAGTTTCGCGCTCTGTTCTAGTATTAGTAGTAGTAGTAGTAGTAGTGGTAGTAGTAGTAGAAGCTGTAGTTGTTGTTGTTGGTGGTGGTGGTGGTGTTGGCGTGGTGTTGTGATTGTTTCGATGTCGTATATATCGGCTATTTGTGTCGTGTTGTTATGGTTGTATCGGTTTTAATTGTTGTTGTTGTTGTGTATGATGATTGTTGAAGTGATGATTGAGAATAGGCGGTGTGAATTATGTTTTGTTTGAGATAATGGTGGTTGTGTATAGAAGGTGTGTTTGAGGAGATAGACTAGCATGTGATGATGTGTGTTGGTTTTTGTTGTCTGTTGCGGTAGTGTAGGATGCGATGGGGTGTGTGATTGCATAGTGTGACGTGTTTCGTAGGAGGTGTGGGTGTATATGTGACGGTGTGTCGCCTGTTATTGTTGAGGAGGCGTGATGTGGTGTTGTGCAGCTGCACTCTTGACCTACATTGTTGGGTTGAATTTGACTGCTGCTATATTGAGTTGTACCCTTGCCTCTTACTCCCACTGATTGTGGTAGTCCATCATCGAGGGTAGACAATTTTGTTGTGATGAGGGTTTTGTTTAGGTTTGTGTAATGTTTGTGTCTGTGTTGGCGTATGTTTGTATGTGAAGTAGAGTTGTGCCCATTGTGTATGTTTGAATGGGCGAATACAAATAACTGTGTATCACACCGGTGGAGTTTGTCTCTGTTTCCGGGTTGGAGCACAGGAACATTGTGTATATTGACTGGATGTGTTGACGGTGTGTTCCGGAGTATTGGTGATAGTGCTTTGCTGGTACGTGTTAGTTTGTGGAGATTGACGAGTGCTTGTGTGTATGTGTTGGCGATTTTGTATTGGCGGTGTTGTTAGTGTTAGAGTTTCGCGCTCTGTTCTAGTATTAGTAGTAGTAGTGGTAGTAGTAGTAGAAGCTGTAGTTGTTGTTGTTGTTGGTGGTGGTGGTGTTGGCGTGGTGTTGTGATTGTTTCGATGTCGTATATATCGGCTATTTGTGTCGTGTTGTTATGGTTGTATCGGTTTTAATTGTTGTTGTTGTTGTGTATGATGATTGTTGAAGTGATGATTGAGAATAGGTGGTGTGAATTATGTTTTGTTTGAGATAATGGTGGTTGTGTATAGAAGGTGTGTTTGAGGAGATAGACTAGCATGTGATGATGTGTGTTGGTTTTTGTTGTCTGTTGCGGTAGTGTAGGATGCGATGGGGTGTGTGATTGCATAGTGTGACGTGTTTCGTAGGAGGTGTGGGTGTATATGTGACGGTGTGTCGCCTGTTATTGTTGAGGAGGCGTGATGTGGTGTTGTGCAGCTGCACTCTTGACCTACATTGTTGGGTTGAATTTGACTGCTGCTATATTGAGTTGTACCCTTGCCTCTTACTCCCACTGATTGTGGTAGACCATCATAGATGTTAGAGAATTTTTTTCTTATGTGGTTGTTGTTTTTTTTGGTGTTTCGGTTTTTGTCGTATCTTCCTGTTACGTTATATTCGATTGGTGTGTTTCTTAATTTAAATTTGTGGTTTACTTGTTTTTGACTGTTTCGGTTTAGCTTTGTAATTTTCATTTTTCTATGCATATGTATTCCTGGGTTTTTTAAGTTTTTTTTTTATTTTTACGTGGTGATCGGAATGTCTTTGTTTGTCATTACAATTTTAGGTGGTTTTCTCCTGTTGTTTTTTTATTGGCGGTGTTCATCTTTGGGTGGTGTGTCTCATTTATGTTTTTTGCATTTGTGTTGATTATTAGAATCTGAGGTTGCGAATCCTTGTTTTTATTTCCGGATTTATGATTGTGCACTCCCTACTTGTTAACCGTTGCTACGTTTCATTCAACCTTCTCTGATTCCAATTGCTCAGGTTGTTGGATGTTATGTCTCCTTTTGCTCCACTTGTGAATGTGAACCCTGTTCGTGGGGACGTTACTCTCTCGATTCCGATGAATTCTTTCCAACCCTCTTGGTTTTTGAAATTTGCATTATGCATGTTTCGTTTTATAACTTAATTTTGATTTTGTTGACCTTTTTTTATATGTGGAATTATGGTGTCATCTGTTTGAATTGCCGTTTATTGTTTGATGTTCTGTATTTATTTCTTGTTGTTTTCTATGTGAATTTTAGAGCTGTGCACTTTTCCGATAGTGGATTTTCCTGCATCCTACTGAGAATTGTTGATATTGTCATCCACCTGTTTGTCATCGACTGTGATATAAATCGGATCTCTGTAATAAATGCTTCTGGAGATAAATTATCTGACATTCTGATGCCTTTGTTAGCATCGAATAGTCATCAGGTTTGTTTTTGTTTACTTATATCCTGTTTTCTATTATATTTCTGTGAAGTACATTGTTAATTTCGTTTAAGATTTTCACATCACGCTATATAAAATCCCGCGTAGAAGTGTACTGAAATCAAGCTGTTATTCATCAAACCGTACTGATTGTATATGTTGTTGAACTGATTCTGTCAAGATGGTGGTTGGCACCTTGCAGCATGCTTAGTTAACATTTGAATAGTCGTCTAGGAATGAAGATGTATTGAGGCAATATGGTTCACTCCTCAAATGAAGATATACACTAGGTTTGTTTTTAGCTTTATGTAGTTAGGTTTTATGGCGTTTAATTTGTATCTCTACTGTATGGTTAACTATAGGAAGTTTGAAACCTTTTTGATACTTCAGTTTTACTGCGTGATCACTTCAAACTATTCTTCATTCTTTTTCAGATACTGATTGGGCAAATTACCTTGCATTGAATTGTCTGCTCATATTTCTTTTTTGCTCACCTTCATTGTGTTATGTATTTGTTAGCATATGAAAAATCTATCCGTCACTTTTACCACCGTTTTCTTCACATCTCATGCGATTCTCCCTACATTCTTTCATTACTAAATTACTCACTGTTTCTGTAACCTCCCTTATCTTTGCATTCAATGCTATAAGTACGGTCTTTATTCTCCGTAACAAATTGGGTTTTCCTTACCTTGTTTGGATTGTTCAGTGCAAGAAGACTCGTTGCTCATTCTGTCTCCGGAGTGTTTAAAAGTCGAAAATGTCAAACTGCTGATTATTAAGGCTTACTAAGGAGACATATACCGTGAAAGATTGTTGTATGCTAAGGAAAATGAATCTTGAATGGCATCACTATACTGATGGAAAAATACTTCGATAGGCGTAATATACAGCTGCAGTATTGTTGTTCACCGTCTTATGCCAGCTTGAATTAGAAGTTGGCTTTGGTTTCAGCCACGAGCAGCAAAAGCTGCAATTGTAATTATTTATAATGCAATTTTTATACAGTGTAGTTATGAAGAGATGCATTTCTGGTGATGATTGCTACTGGAAGAAGGTAGAATAGCAGAACTTTGTGGTTTGACAATAAAACTGTTCACTGAATGATAATGATGAATTGATGACTAGGTAAAATTAATGTACTACTCGTTTTATGGAAATCAGAGATAGTTTCAAGGGGCTGAAATAGATACTTTATTTTTAAATGAACGAAACTCTGCGTGATAATCTCTTGTGGATCATCTAAATTGACATATCATTTTATATCTAATTGTCCTTAGTTATGTGAATACTGATTATAGATTACAACTTCAGAAAGGTATTGGTCGAATCGTTACCTTATTACAGCTTCAAGAATCTAGGCATACTAGGCCTTGGTAGTTGACTGAATTATTGATCTGAAGATAGGAGTCGGTTCTTGCAACTACACTGTGTTGCATCAATGTCTGAAAATGAGGTGCAAGAGCATGTGTATGGACTGTCTTCAATGAAACAAAATGCATTTTCCACCTTACTACTAGTTACTACCGACAATTATTAGTTATTTGTTACCTATCTATATTCATCTTTATTGTAGATATATACTCTAATTCTTTTTTCTTTTTATATTTAGATACGACTTCATGTTTTACGAATCCTATCTGTTATTTATAGTGATATAATAGATTCTGCAAACAATGTTCCTGGCAGTATTCAGTTACTACTGTTCATCCCCATACTGTTGTACATAGTATCATTGAAAGATGTTTGAAAGCAGAAAGAATTAAGCTTGGCCCTCAAACAGTTCGAGATTTTCTCATGCATATTCTCCAGCTACACGCTGATCGTGATGTAAAAAATTGTTTGAAGGCTGCCGAGGTATGTGTGAATGTGTGTGTGTGTGTTTATTTGAAAATGTGAGTACGAGACTATGTAGTAGCTGAATAAATTTCATCCTAAACACTCAATATTGTTAATTGTTTCTACCTATGATTTCACTTTGTTCTCCCTACCGCAAAGTTTTTTCTTTGCTGAAGATACAATAAAGAGATTGTCCACGATGAAAACAAGGAGGAGTACAGTACAATGAAGGACGCTTCACCCGACTTCTATATACTAAATATTGACTCAGGAAGACTGAAAGTACCTCTGAAAGAAGAGAAATGAAGGGAATAAAGAGAAATGGCGACAGAAACAAATTCTGAGGATAAATGCATAACAACAATTGAGTGTTATCAATATCACTTTAGCATGCCTCTTATTATTCAACCGGCAAATAGATATTTCTCTACAGAATACCATTGTCTTGTTTCTTCCATTATTATCTTATCTTTTCCAACTTATCTCTACTCCATGTTACACCACATATTGGAATGATTGTTAGTTCTGTAGTTGAGGATTTATGTTGTCTACTTGGTAGTTAGTTCCATCACAAAAGAAAAGTCATTTTTATGTGCATCTATCGTTTCAGTAAGCAATAAAGTAACACCATTATGTTAGTTGTAGAAAGGAAAGATTTATGATTATATGCTTTCGTCCTCATAATGTCACAAATGAACAGTCAGTATAAATTATCTTGCCTAATTCATTGAACTGTTAAAGTAGTGAGAACTGACGTATTTAATTCTGCTTTAACCAATCTCCTCAATTCACTGTTTTCCCTTGTATGACACTCATTTTCGGTGGTCACTGCCTAGGTTTGCTATGTTTTACTGTTAGATTGTTGCATCTAGAAATAATGTTCTAAGACAATTCATTCAACAAGTTGATCTTTTATCTTTGTATATTCACGTCTCTTGAATCCATTTGATGCTCGATATAAATCCTGGTACACTGACTTTGATTTTAGTTATTATCAGGTTATTTCCCAGGACTTTTCTCAGGTTATTGAAGGTAGTCTAACCAAAACCGTCTACCTTGCATAATGTTTTTGTTACTTGTCAGCGGGACCTATGCGAAGAGTGTAGAGGTTGATTCTCAGTTAAAAAATCAGCAGTGTCGTCACTCAATACAATATTTATTCATAAGTAAAAACACAGTTTTTTCTTCAGCGAAGAAATTTCTTTTCAACGAATTCATTTTCAAGCTGTACAGTCGTATTTATATGACAGAAAAAGGTTATTAAGTGGCACTAAATAATTGCTCAGTCAATATACGCATATATGTGATAAGAATAACGATAATTAAAATGTTATAAGGGGTAAAGTTGAAGTGGATAAATTACAAAATTACTAAAGATAAGTGAATTGATATCAAAAATGCCAAGTTTTTTTATTTGACACTAGTAACTAGTGTGATGCATCTAGTCCTCTGATTGGTGTAGACTGAATTCTATCAGTCAGATACGCCTTACTGATGAGTGTCAACTAGCACGAAACCTAAATCCAAGGCTTCCTGCCGATTGCCTCCAACCATCTAATACCATCAAATGTCAAGTGTTGTCTAAAAATTTTAAAAATTAGGAGTAGGATTACGATTAGATTGAAGATGTGAAGTAAAGTGGAAAGAATTCAAGTGGTAAAAAAAAAATAAAATAAAAACTAGAAAGAACATTACTACGATCAAGGTAAAGAAAGGGGTTTGACAAAACGTTTTTGAACACATAATTTAGGTTTCTGTTCATGTATAGCTAATGATTCGGCTATGCATAAGTGAAGAAAACGTAAACTTTTGGATCGATTCGATTTTGCCATGTAGATAACTTTGAAAGATGAATCACGTGAGGCTTAATGACTAGACTCTAACAGGTGATCACAAATAGACGACTTCGCAGTTCTACGTTCGCCTTTCATTCAGCAAACCGGATAGTGTTCAGCTACACGTTTTCGGAGATTACGCTTACAACGTCCAATATAAACAGTCCCACAAGAGCAGGTAAAAGAGTAAATGCACATAGATGTGGACAAAAGCGGTAATCTATCCTTGACGCATTGTCTAATCATATTTCGGCTGGTAAAAACTAGTTGCAAGTCAGCTGCAGGAAAAGTGCGTTTAATACATTTAGATAAATGATTTTTAATCAATTCCGAAATGGTGTCACCTTTGAATGCCAGGCTCATAAACAGTTTTTTCTTTGGTACTGTGATCTGTCTACAGGCAGATTCTTTCTTGATGTTACCTTCAAAATATGTCTTTTTTCCTGGCTTTTTATACTGTGGTCATCAGATTATGAAATCCACTCTATAAATTCAAATCTTGATTTTCTGATTTGCATACGCAGTTGACAAATCTTTACACTGAGCACTTAAAACAACATTTCTTTATTTTATTGGTTTTCACTGTCATCTTCATAAGGTTGTTTTGTTCATTTTATTTTATTTTGCAGATTGCACTTCGCTACTTATTTGGCCTGTTGCATATTCAATTCACGGCTATATGGCCATCGGTGTATGAAGCTATTGCAAGTTATTGTGGAGAATCAGCGTATTACGATAAAAAGACGTCAGTCATTAGTGCTAGTGATAATGTCGATTCCTCAGCTAGTGGTGCTGCTGTTGGTGGTGCTTCTGTAGAACATTCTACTTCAGGAGCAAAAGTCAACTGGAGTGTGGAGTGTAAAAATCTTTTCTGGAGTTTATTTCAACCTTTACTATTTGATGTAGAAGCAAGAATAGCTAATGTCAAAGGTTAGTATTGCATTCCTTTTTCAACTAATCCATCTGTTTTAGATTTAAAACAGGAATCCAGCAATTCTCCCGATGAAAGTGTATATAGTTGTTCTTATGAAACAGCTATTCTTTGGTTCACATATACTCGTCCAGATTTGTATAGTTTAATGAGAACAACAACTAAGAAAGATTTATTTATTATTGAATCAAGAAAACAAACAGACTGGATTACCTATCGGTTATGTCTTTGGAAGTGTTTACGTTGGAAATGTGCTTCGAAAAATACGCGTTTCCTGACACCTTTATTATTGAATACAATAAGGTAAGGTATTTTTTTCCTGGTCTTTGCAATACAGTAGGATTACTGATTCACCCTTTTACTTTATAGAAGCTCAGAGTTGTAAAGTTATTTATTTATTTAAACGCATAAAAACTTGGTGCAATATGGTTCCAAGAAGGATGTGCCACACAATAGTAATAAAACAACATAGATAAAAAAAATAAAAAAATATACATATAAGTAGAGAACGGATAAAGAACTTCATCTGGAAGGAAAACAGTCATGCTTAACAAGTTCAAACAGTATTCATAAAATATCATCGGGAAGGGAAGAAAGAAGGAAATCGCAACACGTTCGCCATTGATCACGATTCCTGGCCATATCCGATAACGTTTCGAGCCATCGATTTGAGCTATCTCTCGGACCCCAACCACGGAGTCGTGACACACCAACCGATGCTAATCTAGCACAAAAATCCTTCATCCCACGACGCCACGTCATGGACTGACCACCTCTCCGCCTTTTCTATCCCGTCCCAGTGCTAGCGAACAGAGAATTTTACGGAAGTCTCTGGGATGACATTCGCTGCACATGTCCAAGCCACTGGAACCGGTGTTTCCAGATGACGACACTCAATGAATGGTGATCTCCACTGTGTTCAAACACACGCCGCCGAACCTCAGAATTACTCACGCGATGATGCCATCGAACGCAAGCAATCCTGCGGAGACAGCGATGATCGAACACGCAGAGTCGCCGAACATCCTCAGCTCGGAGAGGCCAGGTTTCACAGGCGTAGAGCAGGGCAGCCCGCACCGAATCATTGTATACTCGACCTTTGACAGCCAGGCTAACATCGCAACGGCGCCGGAGGTGGCTCAAGTTGATGTATGCCACCCTAGCCTTCACTATACGGTTGGAAATCTCATCTGTCACCCCTCCGCCAGTACAGCCAGAGTTGTAAAGTGTATACGTATGCATACATGAGTCGAAATCGGGGGAGTGAAAGAGCTTAAAAATGGTCGGAAATCATAAATACCATATCAGTCCATAGGCTCATTGATGAGCAGTCTTCTAAGTGGTACGCGAAATTTACACTGTTGTATTTGTTGGTATCCTGTTCAGACTGTTTACATGCAAATCACAGTTTTAGATAACCAGCTTTTATCATGTATTATTCAGTATGATCAGTTCATTGCTAACATTTCCTGTTGGTACTGAGTAGTAACAGTTAGATATCTTAGATATGTCAATGATTTGAGCGCATTCATTGGTTATCTGACTAGAAGAATTGAGCATTACAGTATTTTGTATTATTCTTATTATTTCCTTGGGTTTCGAGTGGAACAAAGGACTTCAGAAGCCCATCACCATTTCACTTTATTCTCTTCAGTCCTCTTGAGCTGGCTCCACAACTGTCCACATGCTCCGACCTCCTCCTCACATGATCTCTTTTATGTCATGATTGTACACCAAACTCGTCGCCTTCCATTCGAGCTCCGCTCGAGGTACTGCCTATTGTGTGATGTCACTCAATGATATCCTCAGTGTGTGTCTCATCCACCTCTCTTTCTTTCGGTATATTTGTCAAGCGATAAGTTCGTGGTTTGTTCGTTCCCAGAGTTCATTGTTGTTTAATTTTTCTAGCCGACCATCTGTTCTTCAGTATGGAACAAAGTCTGCTGTGGCCTGTGGAAAATGCTTTTTATAATGCATGTGCTAAATCTCCTAATCATATAGAAACAGTGACTTGACATTAGTCTTCGAAATCCCTGTCTTGTTTCTTATGCAGTAGATTTCTGCATTAATTTCAGACCAATGAAGGTCTGTCTTGCTTTTCGATGCTGTCTGGCTTTGACATTCCCACCAGAACACTGAAAGACAGCATGTAGATTTGTCCATTTTAAACTTATTTCTTTTCACTTAACTCACCTTGAATAACTTCTAGTCATAATCTATTCTGTCTATGTTTATAAAATCACTGTTGATAGTTCAGTGCTTATATAAATGTATATATGTGTCACCCAACTCAGAAACTGTCAATGTCCAGCTCTTACTACGCTGGACCTCACGCTGTTCTTGGAAGACTTTTAGAAACAATTTGTAATAAACAACGCGAAAAACCAGAACACAGATTGGTGACTCGAGAATCCTTTATTCTTGCGCAATATGTAACCAACAATACGGTTATTACACACAAGGTCTGAGGATAAATGCTATAACAATAAATCACGACAATACTTCTGATAGTTTTCTATCTTTCACTGAACAGCGAACGATGAGACGATGACTGATGGATGGATAACTCCCACGAAAAATATAGAGTTGGGTTTGAGCAAACAACCATGAATTGATCATTCAATCTTCAACTACATTGACAATATGGCTTCTGGAATCTTTATTTGAACCTGCTTATTGAGTTTCACTCCGCACTTTTATAAAAAAAAATCATTAAAATGTACACCCAGTTTTACAAGTATCATGAAATGTTTCTTATTTTGTCCTTGTTTTTATTTTGCATCACCGTTTCAGTTCTGCACTTCAATTCGGTATGAATAAATCATCAGAAGAGTGAGTTTTGTATTCCTTTCCTGACATGCATATTTTGTTTCTTGTTTGTAATATTGTAATATGGTTTGTTTCAAAAGGTTTCAGTGGGCAACCCTAGCGAATGACTAACAAATTAAAGTCAGCAAATGACCAATGTATCGCTTTCTAATAGCATCCTTTGTTTTATAATATCACAAACGAATTTGAAAGGTTTTATTGACATTAGAATGCCAGTGAAATTCATTCATATTTACTGGGTAATACAGTCAACTGATGTAATCTTGTACTGAATGAACCAGTATCAAAAATTCTAGAGTATAAGGTACTCATGGAGATTGGTTTGTTTAACTTCCATTAATCCATTATCAATCAATCTTGTTACAGTATTATATACTGCATCGCACAGTTCAACACACTACTGAAATTCTAACTTTACATAAGGCAAGGCTTCGTTTTCTTCACACTTTGTTAATGCCAAAAAGAATGGCAATTAGATTGAAAAGAATTAACTTCAACAAAATAGTACAAACACACAGTAACACTGCAGCTGTCTATATATAATTCAAGTGCCTCTGGAAAAAAGTCTATGACAAATAAGTAGTTAGAGAAAGTGGCAAAATTTCTTAAAGTCTGGGAATGATGAAGTCAGAAGTTGTGTACAGTAAGGATTGTTCCGTGTAACACAGATAGAGTCTTAGTAGATCTTACTATTATATCTATCTGTTAAACTGCCTTCTTTTATTGATCTTTCTACTTTTGTTTTAACTCCATTTAGGTTACTTTTGATTATCTTGGATTTGTACGCTCAGTTTAATAATATAAAATCGATCTACATGCAGAAAGAATTCAAGCAAGCTGTTTATCAGGTATGCAGAGAAGTGTGTAAGAGGTTGCCTTACTTAAGGCAAAAGAAGTAGTGAGAAGAAAACCAGTATACTATATTGTTATTTTAGTGACTCCTCATTTCTTGTGATCACTACTTTTTAGAAAGTCTTAGTTCTATTAGTAGTCCCATAAACGACCTGGTACTGCTGTGAGTAGGTAGACTTTGGTCTTTTTCTCAAAATGCTCTGATGTGACCAGGCGTTCACAGCCTCTGCCAAGCAAGTCCTGTTCACTCCCGACATGCCGTGGGGATATTCTTCACAAAAGTGAAGGGTTCAACGCAGTCTTCTGGGGCTTGCAAACGGAATGATGGGCACGCAGCTCTACCTAGGGGAGTTAGAAAATCCTGATTCCAAACTCATGGTATACATACGTTCCAGAAGCCGAAAGGATAGAATTACTTATGGATCTGTTTCCGTCACCAAACACCATTGGAAAAACACTCCTGATGCTTCTTTACTGCTTTGTGGATCGGCCTTCAAGTCAAAGACTCGTGAGTCTTAGTGAACGGGCAGTGCCTCAGCTCTCGCATAGACTATTAGAATCTGTGTTGCACATCTCTTGGTGCCCATAATGTACCAAGTTGCTGAAGTGTTAGGTTATAACGAATTGTATCTTCGACTGATAGCGTCTGCATGTGTCAAGTGCGATAGTCGTTGGCTATCGACTGATTGATTATGGTACTTCGTTTCGTGTCATATGCGATACATTGAGAAGTAATGGTAATTATCGATGAAAACAAATATAAACATTGGACTGTGGAGTGTCCAAAAGTTAGCCACGTCGGTTAGGATAAACAAATTGTCTTCACAGATGATTATATGAACATATAATAAGTAGGATTCCCAAGAAATTTCATAATATTAAATATGCCTATAGTAAAATTTAGAACAGCACATTTAGGCAAACAATATTGTTTTCAATTACATCTCATCAGGCTTAACTATGTTTATTAAGTTACAAATTAATGGTGACTTGTCAAGTAAGATTTTATTCCATAGACTTTCCAGGAGTATATGAAGAACGTTTTACGCAGCAAACCTGTGTTTGTCATTCTATAGCTGACAAATGATTGGGACGCAAACGAAGAATAAGCTAGATAGTTTTGCCACATCTATGTGCATTTATCAATTCAACTGCACCTGTGGTGACAATTATGTTGGGCATATTACTAGACAGGTTAGCTAACGTTTTACTGAACATCTCCCATCGTGGTTTAGCAAAGGGCAGACAAAAACAATCACTAGCTCCATTTTGTCACATTTAGTTGATAATGTTCATGTAATGGAGAAAACGAGAGCTTTCAAAGTAATTCATCGTATCCCACCGAATCTTTCCAATAGACTTCGTATTCGTCTACTGCACACAGCTGAGGCGATAGGCATTCTAATTATTTTACCTAAACTATGCATTCAAAAGAAGTTCATTCAGCTATTATCACTCCCTTGGCCTATTAAGACCTAACCAACTGATGCCTTCACCATCCCCTACTTATATTCTAAACCCCTCTCTTATCATCCCTTAATCTTATCACATCATTAAAATGTATTTTAATTACTCCCCTTACAATATAGCATTACTTGATCGGTTCATTTGCTTTTCTTAGCCTTTATCGATTACTTATACCTGAATATTTGTTTGTTTAATCATGCTGTTTTTCGTTATTCGTGTTATCACAGATTGTCTCGCTTTTTCATCCTTGTTACTGACGGAACCATTATTATTATCATTACTATTATTACGGCAAAGTTTTAGTAAGCTAGTCAATAACGACTACTGCAGCCAGTTTTGTGGTCGCTTAATTGATAACACCTTTCTGTCATGCTCCAATTGATATGCATAAATGGTTATCATACTTTATATCTGTTTTCTTTTCCCTTCTAACTAGCTGCTGAAATTCAAACAACCGACTATTCAAAAAGCAGCATTCAAATGTCTTCTTGCTTATAAACAACCGGCTATCAGTAATTATCAGTAAGTCGCTTTTTCTTGTTAGCAATTTTACTTAAGCTCCGCATGTTTAACTGTTCCCTGAAAACGTACATAGATAGATAGAGCTTGCAATTTCCTGTCCCTCAGACCATTTCATTTACGTGGAAATTCTCATCAACTTTAGTAGTCTGGTTGGTAGCTAAAAGCTTATGTAGTTTTGGCCACTCATGAAGTTAGCTAAATGTATGCTACTGCTCAATGAAGGTCAGATGTACTACAAATCACCACTCTCTAAAATGCTCATTTATTAACTTTAAAGTATTTTTCAGTGCTCCGATCACCTGCATCTTCGCAACACTGTGTGTATATGTGATGAAACTACAACATAACCAATTTAGAGGTGAGGCGTATAATCGTAGGAAGATTGCGATATTAACATTTTATCGACCAAGCCACCTGAATGTTCGTTATGTATGCTCACTGACTACCTCTCTTACTTTTTGTTCCATGGAAGATATACTCAGGTTACATGATACCAAACTGTTGTCAGACAATGATGTCATTCTGTAGGGTCATAAACTGACTACATAGGCCTATAGAGAAGTATAGATTGTCTTATGGAGATCACCGTGATATATAACAGGAACCTCTAATTAGAGGCACTAGACATTACGGTCCCGTAGGTATCACAGAAATGAAGTAAATTGGTTCATACCTTCATTCTTTTAATGAAATCACCGTGTCGCATTTGTATTAGCTTCCTCTTTATCATAGTGCCGATGCCATTAAAAGTTTGAGGCCTGGCTAGCTTACTCAGTAGGGCATGAGACTCTTGATCTCAAATTCTCAAGCCCTACGTCGGGCTTCCCCATGTGTGTGTGCGGCGGAAGTGAGTTCACCGTCCACTTTCATAGGGATTGTGACTCATTGGCTTAAGTAGTCGGTTTGAAGAGGATAGGTCACGAGTTCGAGTCCGGCTCCACCTACTTCAGCCGTCACATGACAAATGTCGCTCATAGCTTGGTACATAAGATATCTGTTCTGGGTAATTGACTTCATTCGGCATTTTTATCTGCATGTATTGTTTGCAAATCATCACATCAATTGTTTTTCTTCTCTTTATTGTAACTTTTTTCTTCTCTATAGAGAACAAATCGAAAAAATAATTGATCCACAAACATTTCGTGATGCAGTAAGAACATTTCGACTGGATACATCATTGTACTCTTCTGATCATCGTGTTCATATTGCTGGAGTTTTGTTACGGTAATTAATAAATCCCCTTTATTCATACTGTTCTAAGTAATTGTGGCTTTTACGGTCTAATAGATTATAAAAGTCATTTTAATGAGACCTGGTGTTGGAGTGAAATTTTAACCGACTCATTCACTCAGAGGATCTTGTTGACTCACTACCATGTAATGACTTTTAGATCAAACATATTGGCTAAGCCAAGTTTAACAGAACATGAATTTATATAAATCTAGAATAATAAACCCCCTCTGGATTAAGTAATCTATAAAACTATTTTCCCTTTAGTATGCATGGACTTGTATACAGTCATATAATTGGTTTTGATAAAGTAAAAGGATTAAAATTAATGCGATTCAAGACTGATCTGCACCGACTCCTAGTGTAAGGTTAACAAGTGAAATGATCGGACATGTTGACTACTTGACTTATTTTGGAATTTGTTTCAGGCCTAATGGGACTGAGAGCTGACAGAAACTTAGCACGTATACAAAAACTGCTCGTTTGACATTTGTCAGCTTGTGCCATCTTTAATGAAGGCGTGATATCCCTCCAACTATCAAAAAACGTCTTTGTTGTTTAGTACCTCCGTCTGTTGTAGTTAAGGGCTGAAGCATGGCCATTAAAATTGAAATGTATGAAGAGATTAGTGATTTCTGATCGTAAATTCCTGTGTATTACGTGTAGCGGTATGATGTGGAGTGTTAGGAAGTGAGGAAGGGCTGGTGTAAATCGATGAGGTTGTTAAGCTGTATCTATTTAGATGACTTGGATGCGTATTGCGCATGCCAAACTATCGCATCCCATGACAACCACTGATAAACAATGAGTATTAGGCATTTATTTTACTCGTATTCAGGGATTTCCAACAGTGTGCGTGGATTGCCTTGAGCGGGATCGATTTTAGAGGATCTCCAGGCTTCAATTATTCTGTATGCGATATCACTTCTTGAAGGTATCTACTGTGGTACATGTGCTTCAATCAGTTCCTTCCTTTATATAATATGCTTTTTGAGTTAGCCCTAGTCATTACATTATGTATTGTTTATTTTCCTCTTTTTCAGTATATTATACGGACGCTTACAGCTATCGAAAGGCCAATTCACTTCAGCTGTATTCACTAATCTCGCTTTATGTACAGACGCTGAATTGAATTTATTCTTGAGCTTTTTGTTAGATCCTTTAATAAAGGAATCTGAAAGTGATGAAATGACAACATTATGTAATGAAAATAAATTAAACGAATCTATTCAATATGTTCGCCAGCGTGTTCAACAGACTGTTCAAGGGAATGATTCATTGTCTTGGCCTCGTTTACATGCGTAGGTTCATTTTGTTGATAGTTTCATTTGACGTATTTTTTTTCTTTAAAGAAGTCTAAGTTCAATTCAAGCTGTGTAGAAATATTCTGTTAAAGGGTTTCACTAGTGATATTAAACCAATTTAAGGAATAATAGACTACCGATTTGTAACCAGTTCTGAATGTGGGAATGAGATTGCTTGACCTATGCGCAGTTACTTGAGTTGGCTATCTAAACACTGACTTGTATATTGTGTTGTGCTAATAGTTATGCTGCATTGTGAATCTTCAGAATTTGAGAGGCGTAGATTATTCGAATTCTGAATCAGTCGCTTGAGTACAAACTTATCAACAAGAAAGTTAGCAACATCACTTGACTGACTGGGTTTCAATATGGCGGCCTGCTTAAATCACTAGGCTGCCCGAATCGCTTTTCACCAAAGTGCCTAATTTCCTCTGGATTTATCATTTTTTTAATCGTTCACTTATATCAAATTACCTTGCTCTCTGATTTAACTTTCTTCCAAGTAAACGCTGTGCAATTCTTCAACGAAATGAAGATATACTTCAGATCGTTTCTTTGCATGTAAATCATGTACGATGAAAAAAGTATTTTGCAACTGAATACGCTGGAAAATTTTGTACCATATGTTCACATATTGTCTGAAATAAAACTTTATTATTATTTGCATGTAAGTGCAGCTGTTCAAATTGTCACACTCTATGAAGCACACAAAGACAGAGGAAAGACAAAGAAAAGAAGGAATTCAAAAGGACTGTAATAAGCAGAAAATGGAGGCGATAGCTAGGCATGTGTAACACATGCCCTAGCCGTGTCATCGACTGACTTTCCTTTCTTACCTAACACTCGACTCCTAACCTCAATATTACTCACCCTATGACACCACCTACAACAGGAGATAGATTGCAAACACTTATGGTCAAAGATAGCACTTGAGCGCATCGCTAGGGAGTTTCTAATGAAGTTGGATATCTCTTTAGTGATCCTTTGCGTTTAATGATTTTCTAACTAAAGAATGTTTTAAACTACAGTAATAGTTGTTGTAAATCCATTAACATACTGTAGTAATAATAATTGTTGTTCATATTGGTTAACTTGTTAACAAAAACTATATTATCTTCTCCTCACATAATTTTAACAGATTGTCGAAAATTGTTGATCAAGCTTTGATGTATATGGGACATCGTTTGAATATCGTCAGTTTAAAGGATAGCGAAACAGCTAATAGTAATACTGATGAAGAATCACAAATGGATACCGTCAATAACAATAATAATAAGGCTAATCAAAGTGAACATGATAACAATGTTGTACGTGCTGATATCTTACTTCGTTTAAGTTTATGCCTACTGGCTATGGTTTATGAAGTGAAAATGATTAAATCACAATCGCCAAATATAACTAATCTTCGATTGCCTTTATCATCACAAATGAAATCAGTTCGTTCTGCTGGTAGTAGTCTATTGATTCACTTATTTTCATCTAAATGGCTTTGTACAATTGAATTCTGGAATAATAATAATAATACCAACAACAACAGTGGTATGACTGTTGATGTTGACGCTGACATTGTTCAACGTTCACTTAGTGTGAAACAAGTTTGCTGCAATTCATTCGTTTTAGACGACATCCTGCAAAGTTCTAGTGTATCTGTGAATCATCTATTAATACAACTTGGTAGTTTATGGTCATCATCGAGTTGTCTTGCTTCGAAATTCCTGAATCAATCATTGGTGAAAACATTTGTTACATTATTAAATAATCATTATACTGGTACGGTCAAATTAAAAAATGATGTCATTGAGAAACTTATTGAAATTATACATAATCTCGTCTTCATACCTGGTGAGTTGGTTTTTCTTTCGCTTTGTGTTTACTGGTGGGTTTTTTTGTGTATAGTGGAAGAATAGTAGTACACCGCTTTGAGCACTTGATTTCGAATCATTCTATCAAAACTTAGTTGAATTTTAGATTTTCCCGTCGACTGATTGAACCGAAGTGTTTGGTCTCAGGTTGACATGTCAGCTTCTTGTGCAGATGCTTCGACGATGTTTGGGCATTTAATTAGTGGATGGTGACTAGCAGTGGAATCCAGGATGCGCATTTCATCATATTTGGTACTCGTCATCTGAATGTACCTGCATTTCTCAGTGGGTGGTCTAGTGGATAACGCTTTGGCGTTTGAAACTATGGGCACTGGGTTCGAGCCTCGGTGGGAACATCGTCACTCACTGAGAAATGCAGGTACACCCAGTTGGTGAGTCCCAAATAGGACGAAATGCGCATCCTGGATTCCACTGCTAGTCATCATCCACCAAATAAATACATTCTATCAAAAGTTAAAATCCATTTAGTCTGAACAGTCGGGCAGGACAATATTCAGAATAAATGATGGTTAACACAAATTAATGTTGTGATTATCGCCATTTCTGACTTATGGTTGGTTACGGAGGATATTTTCATTCTTCTTCTTACTCTAATTTGTTCCATACATTTGCAATACCTACACTTCAGAAGGTACTTTTCCTTCAGTATATCCCTCTGAATGCTGTTCACATATTTGTGTATTAACAGAAACTGTCACGTTGGAAAACGCTCAGTGACTGGCCACTGTATTAATACAATTAATTGATGGCACTCACTGGTGACTGGCTGTTTACAGGGAAGTACCTGGAGTTATAGTAAGAAGCAGAAATCAGAAGAGTCCACCAGGTCAGGTTAGAGAAGAGTTACTCGCTTGTGACATCGGTTGGCGGTCATGCGCTATCTACTGCAAATCAGTAGAAGTTACAATTCATGGGCCAATGCATCGAGTCCCAACGGTGTACAAACTCGCCTTGTAACCGGAAGGTCCTGGGTTCGACCCTAGGGGGGTACATACTGGTAGAGAGTCCCAAACTAGGACGAAACAACCATCCAGTACTTCTTGGTTTCCTCTAACTGATATTAGCTCGTGATTGATCCTATAACCAATAAAATCCCTGCATACCATTAATTGATACTGAGTTTATGTTTGAACTTGTGGATGTGTTGGTATCATCCCATGAATTTATCTACTTTGTATATTTATCTTTTTGCACAACATACTCTGAGCATAATGCTACAGCTTTGATTTGATACGAACATCATTATTGTCGGAACATTATTATCTTTTGTATTCATATTAAAAACTAACAAGTGGAAAGCTACTTCCATTTATGGATGTTTTGATTCCTCGATATAAATACTTCACTTTTTAATTCTTCCTCACTCATCGTAATGTAAACTGCTACAAGGTATAAGGTGCTTTCATAAAAAGTTACTCTTAACTGAGTATAATAAAACAAGTGCCTCACAGACTCACTGTCAGCTGTCTTGTGTAATGTTCTCCTCATAACTCCAAATTTTTGTTATTCATTTACTTCTTTCTTTTTTGCAGATGTATGTACGATAGGTCGTGAATTACTACTCCCGTTCCATTCAGAAATTGTTAATTACCTGCATAAACGCTTACAAGAGTTATGCCAAGCTAAGTCTACATTTTTTGCCAACCTTGGTAAACAACCTCAATCTGGATTAAGATTACAACGTGAATTCCAAGTTGTAGGCTACTTAGCTCAACTGCCTGATGAACAGGATATTGATGATATAGGTGAAAGTGAAGGAGCTTCTAGTTTTCTCAGTCCAACAGAAGGTGAAAAACTTCTTCAAGCCTTATTACAGTTATTATCACGATCAGCTATACGTTCTTTGCGTACAAATACTAACAACACGTCTAGATCAGCATCCTTTAAACGTCGTGCTCTAGTCAACTCAGATGAATCAGCTGCATTATATGATCTTCAGTTGGCTACTGGTGAAACAGTTGAAGCTGAACTAATTCAATCAATTCTTCATCTTGTACATATTACTAAAAATATTAGTGAGCACTACAAGTACGTTTGAATGATCTTCATTTGATTGATGTAATTTTACAAGTGTACCACATCTTCTTCTTAAACCGCTGCTTGTCTATATGTAATAGACTTACTACCTAAATCGGTCACACTCATGACTCTCCTTCTAACTATGTATACGGTCTACTCACTTCTAATACTGCTAATAGAGGACTAATATCCACCAACTTCAAGTTTAACTACTATCAGGCGCAAATTAAACAAATTTGTTGATGGTTTCTCGAATAACTTAAGTCACATTAGCTCTGATGGATTGGTTGGTGAAGAAAAGTCCGTTTAGTATTTCCTAATTAGCATCGCTCCTGATGCTCTCAAGTCATTGGCCAACCCTCCAAAAGACTAGTGTATTCATAATAGCGAAATATTCAGGTTGCCAAAAGCGAAAAATTCGTAGAGGCTACTTGGTTTTCAGCCTAGGTGTTTTGTGACAGCAGGGGCTATGCAATTTTTAGATTAAATGTAGAATTCTAGGTAAACAAATCTTCGAGTGAATCGACTGTAATAATTTTGTTGTGCACTCAACATATCACCTTTTTATAGTAAAAATAATAAAAATTAAATTAAGTTGAAACTAGTTTAACTTGACAAGATATAGTACCAGTTCCTAAAGTTCCCGACATTTGTCTCGACTAATTATATTTTAAAGAGATTCCGGTTATCGATTTAGAAACGAAACTACTTACGAGTCAAGTGGTGGTCACAGGCCGTGCATACACTTGATATTTTTTTTATTATTTTTGATTACAGCTTGATTCCACACTGTATTTTTGGTACAAGTATGGAATTTTCAGCATGGATATCAGTAGCCCATATTTTGCAGGCCGACCATAGATATCAGGTGTGCATCGGCAGGGGATCGAGCCTCGAATCATGTGCATGGTCGGCGAGAGTCCTAACCACTGTGCCACCGACGCACAATGTAAGCGTTACATTGGTTGCATACTACAACTCTTAGTTTCATTTTCTCGAAATCTGTGTTCATCAAGAGTATAGTTTTTCAGTCATTTAAATTATGGTATTTTGGCTAATCAGTGCTTTAGGAAAAAGACAGGTTGCTTCTAACTGTCTATCGACTGATATTTAGTTATGTAGACAGGCAATACTGAAATCATCAGCCACTAAAATCTGTTTTTCAGTTTTTTGTTCATATGTCTGTTATGCTTACCAACTTAAGACGTTTCACACCTTTTTAATTTGTAGTACTCTCCTGTAACAGAACGCATAGGAAAATAAGAAAAAGTATACAACAGAATTAAGGTAGTAGATAGTTAATATGTAAACTTCTAATTATAATATCTCAAGAGAGACACAAATAAAAAACCTATTCCGCATTGTATAATTCAGCTGAAGCGTCAACAGTATAATTGACGCGTTGAACGCAATTTTCAGAATGAAATCTACAAGTAAAGCTAATAAAATTGTTTATAATTCATAATAATTGAACCTGGACTAAACACGCCGCAAGTGATCCGGGTTGGATTCCTAGCTGACGCACTCCTTGACCTCGCTTAGTTGTCAGTAAGCTGGCTAAATAGTGAAAGGTTAGGTGTGTATCTCGTAGTGTCACTCCGTAAAAGAGAACACCATTGCTAGTGAAACCCTAAAACTGAAGCTGGAAGCCCCCTAAGTTCTATTAGGAACACTAAAGAATTAAATAATGATAAATAATTGGTAACAATAGAGCCGATTTATAACTCAGATTGTCTGTCTGTCTGTTTTCGACATGGAACTTTGCACATATGTGCGGAAGTTCAAGTCGCCACACTCCGTGTAGCACGCGAAGCAAGAGAAGAAAGTACAAGAAAAGCATAATAGAGACAGTGAGCAGAGGTGTGAGACAAAGGAGGAGTAATAACGAAGAACAAAACAGTTTCATTGGAGATCGTAAGTCACAAGGAGTGGATGCATCTGCGCCACTGAGAACGATTCTCAGATTGAGGATGAAAAGTGTTTGGTGTCCTCCCAAATTAAATATTTGATTATCAACGTTGCATCCGAAGGATTAGTGACGCATGTACCACTGACTTCTTAACTAATTAATCGTTCACATTCAGATACCGAGACTCAAGAGAAAGATTTCGAAACAGTTCTGTAGTACCCTCTGGTTTCCAGGGGTTCTCTTACTGAAGTCAGTTGGTGATCAAACCTGAAATCATATCAATTAAACCCTTGAAAACGCACAAGTGTAAATGAATTAATTTTTATTTTGTTTTTTCTGTTTTGCTTCTAGGAAAATCCTGTATTTATTTGTCTGCTCGAAATCACGTGTTGCTCGTAGTCTTTTGTGTCAAGTTGTTGGAGTGTGCTCATCACGTTTGAATACTTTCCCTTTAAATCTGTTGGAATTATTGAGGAAGTTAATCCACAGTAATAATGATAATCTGAAAACTGAACAAAAAGTGGACAGTTTGAAGTATTTGAAGAAATATTTATCCAATTCGGAGGATGCAGTTAATAATTTAATTCAAAATGTTTTAAAAATGGTAAATTTTGTTTTATTTTACTTTTTCTCTGCTTATTCAATTGTTTTGAGTTTCATTTCATAGTTTAAATCTCCTTCTCACAATTAACGCATATACAGCTGGTGTTCTATGTCAGTTCTTCGATGAAAAAATTCTGGGGATACCTTTATATTTCTGTGTTTGTCGTATATTCTTCTATCACAAATTACCCCATGAACTTTCCTTTATTCTTACCTCTCAAATACTTACTTTACTTTTACTTTACTTCGGCTATCTCCTACGGGAGGATGAGCCGGCTTCATGAACGTCTCGAATCATCGCTGCCCAGGCGCGGCAATTTGTAAGAGAGTTCATGAAGTTTCATAGGAATTTGGTACGAGTGATGTCCCCAGCATCGCTCGGCCTTTTGTTTGAGAGTGCAGCTCTAGCCTTTACACGACCAAGTGTGACCTACAAGGCAGTAGGAGTGGAGTAAGGAGTCCACTATCCATTGGCAGCCGATGACCGGAGTTCGGTTCATACGCCTTTTTGAATGGGGCCAGACATCCAGGACATCCAACAAGCCCTTTGTCCATACGTCTGCCGGTGAGCTCCAGTGAGCTTCATACGCCAATCGTTGGAGGTTTGGAATCAGGGTTTAGCCATCTCCCATAGACTGTCATCCAATGGACAGTCAACCCGGTGGAGGGGGGTGCAGATAGTAGATATAGTCTTTTGCTGTACTACTCCTACAACTTATCTACGTCGGTATCAATTAATGTCCTAACCAATCGGCAATCACTTAGTTTGAGGTCTGGTCAGCTGTTTACTAAGCGTCAGTTGTTCGACATTTTTGACGGTATAAGGCGAAATCGTTCATACACCTCCTTTTTGTTTGTTTGTTACATTATTGCATCTCTGTTTCGTTATGCTTCGTATATCTGTCCGAAGTTCAGCGATTTAAATCTCCGCCTATCTGTGGTAATATCTATCAAGCTTAAAAGCTAACACATTTCGATTCATCTAATCGATAAAATATCTCTCTCACCGTATTTACGACTCAGTGATTGAATCGTAACATACTCAATCCAGGATTCTGATTTCGTGTTAATGAATAGTTTTTAATTGATTAACAACGGTTGTTCAGTTTTCAGATGAATTTCAGTCCTTGATGAAATATATCGAATCTTTGAATACTTGACAACTGAATTTTATGCTGATCTTTGCTTTCTGTGTTGTTTTATTTTTGCTGATAGCTAAATTCATGGGATCAATCATACATAGAACAACCAGATGTGTCCAAGCGCGATGAAGCTTTCAATCTACTGATCGAGTTATGCTTACTCTTAAAGTTGACTGATCCACCAGAACAAACAGTATTTTTACATATAGCTGGTTTAAACTGTGCAATTTATACAATATGCCATGAAGACTTACAACTAAGAGATACAGCACTTGATTATGCTGTCTGTGTTATTCAATCGATTGAATCAAGATTAATTGGTCAAAAATTGAATGAATCTGATGTATACTATCAAGAGTTAATTGTTAAGTGTTTATGGCCCAATCTAATCACATATTTACGTGATTCTGCTGCACTTGGTCCTAAACGTCTACATTTATTACGTCTTCTCAACACTGTTGTTCGTGTATATCGATCACGTTGTCAATTTGCACCACATGCACTATTGTTAGACATCAACTCATCAAATAATGATTTCTATACTAATCTACAAAGTGGTACACTTCAACGTCAATCTTGTGCTATCCGTCGACTTGCTTTATTTCTGCATAATCCTTTAACAATTGTTTCACGTCGTCAGTTATCCTCAGTGCATAATCAACTGTTTGGTAGTGTGAATAAGAAGTCAGACTTTCCAATACCTCAAAAAGATTTACGCAATCTATTTCTGCCTATTTTATGGTTTTATTTAGAGCCTGAATTACATTCTCCAACGACTAGTAACAACTCGAAACAATTGGATTATCATAAAAAATTAATTGAATATTGTTTAGATGCTATCGGTGGGTTAGCCAAACACCTTCATTGGAAATCGTATAGGATACTTTTGGAATCTGTTATATGTCGCTTGAATTCTTGTGTAAATACTAATTTAGCCTCACAGATTATTATTAACTTGATTGATGCTTTCCAACCTCCAGACTGGAAAGTGTCTATAAAATCCACTCAAGAGGAAGAAGAAGAAGGGGAAGAGAAACAAACAGATGGAGGTCATACTGTGGCCAGAATCACTCCTCATCCCAAACTCCTAACGTCATCATCAACAACAACGTGTCAATCAGAAAATTCAAGTATCCTCAACTATATGTTGAGTGTGGTTAAGCGTCTGGAACCATTCATTGTAAAACCAACGATTAAAACAAAAAAGAAGACTGAAAATCCAACTGATAATGACAGTCGGTCAAATAATAATCAGCCTCTTAAAATATCTTTGGTCATATCACTAGTTATGTTACTTCGACGATTACCTACTGGTTATCTTGAATCTCGTTTACCTCATTTATTACTTCGTGTTGTTGATATTTTACGACCATCAAGAGATATTCATTATGAAGTACGTAGTGAAGCGGTAAAATCACTTTCACGAATGGCACGTCTTCTTGGTCCAGGGAAAGCATTAGATAAGATGTTTGAAGTAGTCAGTCAACAGTTGAATCGTGGTGGATATACCTACTGGCAAGTTAGATTGTATGCATTACATCGTGTTCTCCGTGAAGTGGAACAAGCAATATCAGCTGGTGAAGTTGCCTTCAAACCTGGTCAATTGGATAATGTTGGTCGTATATTAGGACGTCTTTATCTAGATGAAATGGTTGGTCGGTTAGCTGAAGAAATGGATTCAAGACGATCAGGTGCACAAGCTTTCTCTGATACACGTGTTAAAGACTCATCAACTAGTAATGATTTAGGTGGATCAACAGCTACTATTGATTTACCAGAAGCGAATGGTTTCAAGTCTCCAGAAGGAGTTGCACGATTATGTCGATTATTATCACCTGATGGCATAATAAACTTATTCACTGATATTAAGACAGCCCTTTCATGCGCTGTTTCCGGTGGTGTATTAGAACAAATGTTGAATCAAACAACCAGCTCAAGTACAATAAAGTCATCTGCTGCTTCTGTTGGATGTGGACTTCGATTTAGGCATCGAGCATTAGCTCGTCTAGAATGCACGTTAAGTCGTTTACCAACAAAGAATGCTATCTTTTCAAATAAATACATCAGTTCAGATATACATGTAATCATTAAATTGTTCCAACAATTGGTTGATGAAAATCTTGCAGAAATTTCAATTCCAGATGAGGATTCTCAAGCAAAAATTGAAAACACATCAAACACAATTGGATCACAAAATAGTAAAACTGTGACAGGCTGGTTACAACCTCAATCAAAACCACTTGAACCACGTTGGCGCTATTTAGAAGTAGAAAAGGAACCAGCACGTGAGAATAATACATTGACGACACAGTCTGGGTTGACACAAGCACACGTTATGGCATGCTGTGGTTTATATTTGTTTGTTGGACTTATACGTTATCAATGGTTGAAACAAGATGAATCAGAGCATTTACAATTGCTGAGTAGTTTGATCCCATCAATCATAACTTGTTTAAACTCAAAGTATGTACAGGTATTAGAAGTGGCTGTGAAGTGTGTCCGATTGTTACTATTAATAGCCACATCTAAGTCGACAGCCAGTAAAATACCGAAATTTCAAGAGTATTTAAATACCATAGGTGAAAAGTTATTCAGTGTTTTAGCCAATCAGCATGGTTTATTGTCTGCTAAAACAGCATCGTCTAACTGTCATGCACAAAATCTTGCCTCAGGTTTATATCGTGCATTGGCTTCACTGGTTCGACATCAGTACAGTTATCCATTGTCAAGAAGTCAATTGTTGACATTACTGAATGCTGTTGATATTGAGTTGAATCGTGATGCAACTGTCAGCCCATCACTTTCACTTCTTCACGCCATCCTCCAACGTCGACTTCGTGATCCATCAGTTCAAACAGCTGATGGTGATTTCCTCAGTCTCCTCACTGATCCTGAGGTGAGTAAAGAACTTCCGGTAAATGGATTAGTTGTCGCTAAACTATCAGATCGTGATCATGATTCAGTCACAGGTGCTGGTGGTGGAACTCGTCTACTTGACTTGTTCAGTCGATTGCAAGTACTGGCAATCACCTCTCCATCAGATCAAATTCGTGCAGAGTCTCGTTGTTGTTTGATTACTTTCTTATTGAATTATCCACACAAAGTTAAATTCCTTCATAGTTTTGTTGCATTCTGTGTTCGACAGTTAGAGTATAAGAAGTCGGCTGGTAGATTATCTGCAGCCAGTTTACTCAGTGGTCTTATTTCTGATTTACCAATTACTCGTCTTATGGGAAGTAGTCACTTAGACGAGGCTATTCTACTCAGCGTGGGAGCAGCTATTGAACGTGAATCAGCTCGTAAATCACGTAGCACTTTACTGAGTCTTATTCGTCTTTTGTTTAGCAAATTGCCTATTGATGCAGCACAATCGTATTTCAGTGATTATTTGTTGGCTTTTCTAACAGCCCCTGCAGAGAGTAGGTGTTCTGCTCGTCTACTTGGTTTACAAATGATCACATCTGTTTTAGACAGTCAACCATGTTTATCAGCTTTGAGACATCGTAATAATTTAATCGATATCTTAAGCAATGATGTTCTACCAATTGCAGCTATACAATTGAATAAATTACTTATGTCTAATCCATCATTGGTAATTGCGAGTGGTTTGAATGAGTTATACAACATGGACTCGATGAAAACTCCAAAGGAAGAATGTGAATTGGTTAAAGTTGTTAAAGAAGACAACAAATGGATGAGTGAGTTGAAACTGCCTACAACCGATATAGATAATGATGAGGACAATGACGATGTTAGTGATGATGCTGATGGTTTAAAAGATGACGACGGTGATGGCCTTGATGATGATGAGGAGGAGGAGGAGGAAGAAGAAGTTTTGAGTTTATCTGATGAAGAAATGAAAACCGATGGTGATTATGATATGGAGGATGAAGATGCAGAACTTGATGCATTCGCCAATTCTGCTGACAATATCACAGAACCTCCTTCCAGCACTACACAAGCTGAACCAACATATTCAAGGAAACTTAAATGTTTAAAGTCGGTAAGTTGTGTGACTGACTAGTGTTTTGTTTGATTATTCTTCCGAAATTGTTCAATTTTACGGACAGTTTTATAGGAGAGACTTTTTTACTCCTTTTCGTTCCAAGAGGGACATAGGGCTTCAAGCTAGAGTTTTGAAGTTTCAATACCGGTGTTGTTTTCCTATTGGATGAGGTTGGACGCCCAACCTCTCCTACCTACCAAGCTTACTACCTACTAAACGAAGTTTAGGAATGCGTCGACCAGTGATAGAACCTCGGAGCATATACTTGGTTGCCGAGGCTTCTAGTGCTGCTCGAAAAAACACCCTGTGCAATTAATATCTCAAAAAAGCAACAGTTACAATGATAGAGAATAATCGTAACTCATAACGGGGATTATTAGATTGAATTTTTGTTCTGACTGGGATATATGTTGATTTCGTTATTTTAGTAAGTCGCTGAAGTAAAGTGATTCCTCATAGATATTCATGTCACACTCGGTATACCACTACTTGTTAGGTTTCCTTTCCAAGTGAAATGTCCACTATTCCCAGAAAGGCGTTCATCACAGAGGTTATCTGATTGGTCCTTCCTTAGTTGGATGGAACAGTGACTATAACAAGTTTTGCTGATTAATCAAACCCTTTCAAAACTTTTAATGGAACTTCCAAAATCATTAATATATTTGGTAAACGATATGAAAGCAACAGTGTTACTATGTTTCAATGATTTAGAACTAATCGAACGATTTTTGTTGATACATTATCGGATGAAAAGAGGCAGTCAAGCATATTATAAGCCGAAGATTCAGATTCTTTTTATGCATAAAGGTTAAAATTCTACACTTAGGTTTCTTAAGCTTCTGTGTGTCAAAATAACTTTTTACTAGTTTGTACACTTATATCAATATTGTGATTGTCGTCTAACAGATGGAAAGTAGTCGGACTCCTCAGAGTATATTATCGTGAGAATACTGCACAGAAGTTTTGATTTAAGTTGTCACATTAATTTCTTTTTCTCAAATGCAGAAAATGAAACTACAATGGACAGCAGTGTTACTACCAGGATTAATAAGTAGGCAGGATTAGTAAAACTTGGGGATCTAGAAGCTTCCAAGACATGGGAACATTTTACCATTGTGAACACTATTCAACCATGTCAGAAGGAGGCCAACATCTTCCTACTTGGCCGAAGCTAACAATTATACACTTTGTGTATTAATGCTGTATTTTGTTTCATTAATAATCCTCAACTGTTTTCCAATCCAATAGCACTTAAGCTAACATTGTTTGTACAAGAAGACAGTGGCTAAGCATACATTACACATATCCCAGTTACTAAAGTCAATGGAATTTCACAAATTCATTCGTTGACTTTGGTACGAATTTCCCATGATATATGTATTTCGATGTCCTACATCGATCCTTTAGTTTATACTACTGTTTATAGAAGTATTTATTAGCAATAAATCAACTATATACGAAGTTCATTCAACAGTTCTGTCATCTGACCCACCCGTTGTAAATATTTTTACAGTGACAGCTATAAATTTCGTCTATGTCACATACGAAGTGTTGTTGGTAATCAGACTGTCTTTTGAAATTGTCATTCATTCAGCTCTGTCAATGTGGAATAATAATCTGATAGAACAACAGTCTCCCATCAAAGAAACTGCTTAAGACCATCTCTACGCTGCTTTGATTAGTCCACTTTAGTCTTGAATTTAATTTATCGATCCACTGAATTCCAGCCTAGTAACTGAATAGTAACGTACTCGTAACCTGACGGTTCTTATAGTTTACCTTATCAAAGACCCCATTGTTGATTAAACCACCTATTAAGTTTATGTGCTTCTATGATTAGATCCATTTTGTATTCTTGAATCCCTATACAGTAAGCCTTTATAATGAACATTGAAAAGCATCCATAATAATTGGTAATCACCTTTGTTTTATTAATATTTAACTCATTTTGTTTTAATTCTTCCCAACATATTTTCTTTGAATGTGAAGGCTATCGATAATCAATACTTTTTGGTTGCTCATACAATGGAACATTCACTGAAGCTTATTTACCATTTGGTGACTAGTTCAAAAGAAGATAAAACAAACACAAATGATCCATCTAACCACGAAATTGATAGTTATATTTCATCCGTGAAATTATCTCCATTCTGGCGTGTTCTTCTTAATGGACCAAAATATGATAATTCCTTACCAATCACTGAATTACAATCGAAAAAAGTACAGAAAGCATTGAAAAAACGTCGTGAACAGTATAGTACATTGTTCTCCGGTTTACCAGAAGAATTGAATGTAAAATCAAAGAAAGTCAGCCTTTTAGTTACTGGTCATCGTGAAACACGAGAATGGGCTACACGCTGTTTATCTTTACTATTAAAACTTGAGGTCAGTGCAAATAACGATCGATTAGCTAGTAAAGAAGCTAAGACAATGAATTCAGAAGCATCTGGTATAAACGCTAGATCAAATATCTTTAAGAAATTACAAAAAAGCAAATCAGGCTTAAACAAAGTAGTAAGTGATTGTTTCCTTTGAAAAGTGTATCCTATTATTTTGTTGTGTATGATAATTCTAAGTACATCTCTGAAATAATAACGAGAAGTGTAAATATGCGTTGGTGGCACAGTGGTTAGGACTCTCGCCGACCATGAACATGGTCCGGGGTTCGAGCCCACGCCGACGCACACCTGATATCTATGGTCGGCCTGCGAATTTCGGGCTACCGATATCCACGCTGAAAATTCCACACTTGTCCCAAAAATACAGTGTGGAATCAAGCTGTAATAAAAAATAAAATTAAATGTAGCTCATTGGTGCCAATACTTCAATTTCACCCAATAGATTCTTAGTTCAAGTCTCATTTCACCTCCGAGTGGGTGAAATGGTTACAACCTCAACCCTCATAGGGAAGTTAAGCTATAACAGCCACACACACACACCAGTACATGACCTTCGACAGCCAATTAGGTTTACGTGTGATATAACACATTCAAATTGATGCCTTCTTTTCTGAACTTTCTTATGGAGTTCCAAGAAGATAGACTGTTCGATTATTGTGTTAATAGTGGATCACTTGGAGGTAGTAAAATGCGCACATGCAGGGGAATCTCGACAGCATAGCTGGTTTTTCCAAGGGCATTAAGATTTTTGGGTGAATTAAAAATGATATTTTACATCTTCTCAACTTTGGATTTCTGATATCATAAAGTAAAACAATTGATGTGTTGGGTAATCAACAGTACTAGTTGGAAGTAACTTTTCACTGCACTTATCTAAAGGATTTGAATCAGTCTTTTAGGTTGATACGAAAAATCACTTTGACTATCACTTCTTAATTTACTCCACACGGTCAGTCGACATGTTTTCCTCTCTTATACTCTGCAGCATTACCCTCGCGTGTAATATGAAGTTGAAAAACATGATAAGGATATACATTCTCATCAATTCGAAGTGCCCAACAAGTTATACACATACTAAGTCACTTTTTACTCTAAAGTACCATGTTCTTCTAAGTACAGACAGCTTAAACTGAGGTGAACATACTTTTGGTCTAATTAGGACATTTCACAACTTTTAGTCATATAGCTTTGCTGCTATTGTCTTCAGTATTTTTCCATGTACTTGATATTCAGATATTAGGTATGACAAGCAGACTAACACACTGTTCAGCAATGTTTCGTAGTATATCAATGAAGGCTTACCTATATTTCTTATGAAAATTCATTATTCCTTTGGGTTCCGAGTGGAATATAAGGCTTCAACAACTTTTTTCTATTTGCTGCTGTCCTCTTCAGCTGGGTCCATGATTGCCCATAATTACTCATCTCCTTTTCTCACAACCTCTTCCGTGTCACTCCCGGACAACTCGCTCGTCGCTTCTTATTGAGATTCCACTCGAGCTCTGGCCTGGTGCGCGACGTCAATCGATGACCTCCTCAGCGTATGCCTGATCCATCTCCATTTTTCTACTGCATATTTTTTGAGCAATTGGCTCTTGGTTGGTTTATTGCCAGAGTTTCTTGTTACTAACTCTTTCTGGTTTCCCATTTAATTTTCATTATGGTGCCGTTGAAGGCAGCTGTTGATAAAAGTCTGTAGTAGCCTGTTGGAAGTGCTTCTCGTGATACGCCTGACGGATTTCTGACCCGTATAGAAGAACTGAATGGCTTAGCATCTGTGTTGAACAGAATCCGAATCTTTTTCTTTATGAAGCTGAGTGCAGAAGATTTTCAGGCTGGTTTCAGGTTGATGATGGTGTATCTTGCCTTTCCAATCCTGGTCTAGCTGGCCTTGACATCTTCATCTGTTCCGCTTGTGTTTGAAACGATGCTTCCTAGATAAGTGAAGGAGGTAACCTCTATTAAACCTCTCCCACTGATGGTGTTTGGTGTTGCGGTTGGTTATCTTCATCACCTCCGTCTTCTCTATGTTCATCTGGAATCATTTCGTCACTGCTCCGTCAAACAGTTTGTTGCTTTTCGCTTGTATGTATTATAGGAAGGCTTACCTTATAATACAGGCAAAATGTATATGTACAAACAACCATTCCCTGACATATTTACATATAGTTAATCATCTCGCTATTCATTTGTTTTGGGAGTATATCACCTATGCAAGAGATGAATAGTGTGATAATAATAAAGTGGTATCATTCATCTCCGTGCATTCCTAAAATTAATTATTTCTCTCCAGTGACTAAGAAATGAAAAATATTCCAGTGTGGGTTGATTAATTTTCCTCTCTCATTTCATAGTATATCATATTCATTCTTATTCTTATTCAAGGCTTACGCATATCCTTTTTAACTTTCGGCTTTGTTTTTCTTTTTTTTTTTTTTGAATAGCTGCTAAGATTACTCGATGGATTGTTGTTCCAACTACAAACTGATGCTCGTGTACCCATATCAGATGAATGGTCGAATTCGGTAATTATTTACCACTTTTTTCAACTTAAAATTATTTAATTAACTTCGTTGTTACTAATCGTCGAGCTGCGGCTCATTTATCCGTATGCTTCAGTCGGTTATGGGTTCGAACGCCGCTCCACCTACCGAGGGTCGGACAACCAGCTAGCATCACTAGCCCCCTCATACAATAAGTGTGTCTTATTGCCAGTGACTGTATTGAGTCACAAATGACTGTTGAGCACACACATTTTACTAATCAATACATTCGGCAAAAGCGCATATATATATATATATATATACATTGAATAACTGTATATCTTCAAGTGATAACAAAGCTTTTTAATCGGCTTTAACATTAGCAATGACATCATCGAACAAAAGTTGAAATAAAAATAAGACCTTAATATTAAACATCACTAGTTAAATATTTCCTTTCACACTGCCTCCAGCCATGCAACAACAATTCAGAGTGCGAAGGACTAAATGCATGACATTTACTGCCTTATTTTCAACCAAAGTATCCATTGCAGTCCTTAAGGAGACCAATCGCTCAGTAGTACCGTCTCTGACTGCAGCAGTACTGATTGACCTGGGTTTGAATCTAAGAAGGGACATTCGTTCTCTCAAAACCACATATACACCCCACTGACGAGTACCGATAAGCACGAAACCTAGGTCCAAGGCTTTCTTGCGATTGACTCTAACCATCTAACAACAAATCATAGTGTATAATGATGATAAGCCATCCAGCATGGTGACTACATTGCGAACTGGACTGATGGAAACCAGTCTACACCAACATGAAGGACTTGACCCATGACATCAGTTACCATCCAGAGTCTAATTAACGGATTTTCCTATTTCTACCTTTCTTCTTCTGTAAGACATCGTAAAATCCACAAATCTCCAGTATATAGCTTCATTTATGTTGGAGAAGTCACAGTGTCTTGGGCTTACTTTTCAGTTAATTCAGAGTATTTTGGTTCACCTGTGAATATATATCCAAAGTCCTTAAAAGCAATAGATATACACGCATACTTTGCGGAAACCAACAAACGTACTAAGGCTTAAGGATAAGTCGATGGCTTGTTCATAAAACTGAATATATAGTTAACTAATGGTTTTATCCAGGTGTGTCGGTGGAACAACGGTTAGGACGCTCGCCGACCATGCATATGTTGCGGGTTTTGATCCCCGGTCGACCCACCCCTTTACCTCTCTATGCTAGAAATAATGCTGGTAAAGAGGAAAGGTTGGGCATGAGGCTAGCAACCCCAACCTGGAAAAACAAACACTGCTACAGAAACTTCAAGCCACTAGCTTGAAGCCCTGTGTTCCACTGAGAACGTGAAGGAAAAATTATTATAATGGTCGTATCCAACTATCTACTGACCATATTGAATATTGAATTTAATAAGCATATTTTTCCTCGAACTTATAAATGATACACATATTCGACTTTTTTCTGAAAGCACTCTACAACTTTTACTTTCCATAGTTATCTCTAAAGTAGAGAGTTATGAACCACTTTTCAAACTGTAACTGCTTTACGATAAATCAGGTGTTTGCCTGAGTTATCTTTGTTTTTCAAAACCAATAGATTCATAAAACTATCTAAAACTGATTGATTAAGATGCGTAGTTGTATACTATTCACCTCAGCCAAATGGTACTTGCTATCCAGATCGAATTGATCTAAACACTAGATGGTTGTCTCCCTTGTTTGAGGTCGAGATCATCAGGGGGTGTACCCGGTTTCACTCAGACTAGAAAAAGTCGAATCACTTCAAGCCACCCTTCTAGTTGGTGTGAGTAACATACAACTACGCATCTCAGTATACGGTTGTACGCGTTTACGCTTGATCTATTAATTTTCCAAGGTGAAATAATCACCTTAAACCGTGTAAATTGAGGAATGATTTGCAAATTGTGAATTTGATTTCTGTGCATATAAAGTCATAGTTTATATCTTTCTCCATTGATTCATTTCTTTCCCGACTAGCTTCTGTCGAATTTGATATACTTAGGTCAATTGTTACATCTAACTGTTGGTCGTAAACCTGTTCTGAGAATATTTCGAGTTGCGAATAAAATTGCTCTAGATGAATTGAACAACAGGCCACAATATTATTGTCAGGTTAGTATTAAATGCCTTCAGTATATTCCCTGCGTTTTGTGATTATTATGGACACCTATTCTGGAATCCTTGAATTCATACTGAAACAGATTGTTACGGCTCATCACTTGACTTACAACCAACCATTAAGGTTGGGTCTAAATCCTCCTCCACTCACTGGCACTCAGCAGCCTAATACGATGAACTAGGATGTAATTTACGCTTAGTGTGTTCGAGTTTATTATAACAACTAGGGCCTAGTGTTTTTAAATTCAGTATTTATGTCAGTGACCTCTACCTCGATCTACTTCATCTTGGTCCTTCATATGTCAAATGTATGTAGTTTATACCTCTAGTACATAAAAATACAATACCGAATGAGTTGAATTAATCACCTATTTATCACTCATCATCCTAGCTGGGGAATTATAACTGAGGTGACTGTAGCTAAAGCTCTAATGACTTCATCCAGCTGTAGAAGTTTTATTTAGTAATAAGAAGACAGTCCTGCTAATTGGAACGAACAATGTTGACTTCGATTTTACAGGATGAAGAGATCAGTTACAAGTTTTCAACGCTTATAAAAATACTAGTGACAGGTATCTATCTGTAGCTCAGCATTTTTAGGTCGTACTAGATTTGCTCTTACCAGTGAGGACAATACACCTAATGAGTAAAACGTGTTAATCATAGATACACGGAATTTTAAATTGTATTAATTTGTCTTTACTCATGCTGTGTTTAAAGTACTTGAATTCTATGGATTTTCTTACAGAGAATACTGGCATTGAAATTGATTACTGGTCTGTTGTTGCGTCTACCACATCCGCATACAAATGTTCTGTTTGATATGTTCTCCTTAACAAAATCACAAGAAATTCGCGACAGACAAGCAGAGGAATCAGTTATCAATGATGATTCGTTAAAAAAAGAAGAGCAAGCACCAGCATATTTTGCATACTTGAGATCTGCATCAAAATTACTCAGTCGAGAATTTCGTCACCGTGAACGATTAGCCTTTATAGCAGCTTCTTCGTTATCAGCTAATGCTAATGATGATAGTACTGATGTTGGTGCTAGAATACGATTACGCGGTATTCACTTATCAAAAGAACTTACAGTGAGGGCGAAATCCAGAAGACGAAGAGCACAGGTTAGTTGCACATTCCTTCTTTTTCTTATTAAAGTATTATAAACGGAGAGAGAATTTATTTCACGAATTATAGAAATGTTTTAGAACGTGTCTGTATGTCTGGATTCAACATAGAACTTGGCACCGAAGTGCACCAGTTCGAGTTGCCACGTTCCAAATAGCACACAAAGGTAAACAAGAAGATGAGTAGAGAGAATCAATAGAGTTTGACAAGTATACGAGTGAGACAGAATGGGTAATGGTAGAAAGGAATATGGAAGATTACAGAGACTGAATACATCTGCGCTGGTCATTGACAACGATTTTGAGCCATGTCACTTATTGTCTCCAGCCATTGATTCTTAGAGTCCCGAGGGCCCCAACCCGGAAGTCTGCATCTCCCTACCTGACTCAGTTTAAATGTCAAGGATTTCATGGATTGATGCCATGTTTTTGTTCGACCACCACTTACTCTTTTCCAACCTGCACCTTTATCAGCTAGTAATGCCCGTCGTCGGGGGAGGCGATGGTTAGGCATCCGCACCACATGACCTAGCCATCTTAGTCTATGTAACTTTATAGCCTCGTCGACTGATTTTCCCTTATTGCCCAACACTACGCCTAACGTCAACATTACTTACCTTATTAAACCACCTAACTTGAGAAAGAGTTCGCAGACATCTATGATCGAAAGCAGTTAGCCTTTTCATGTCTTCAACTCGTATTGGCCATGTTTCAGAGCCATAGAGAAGGACGGAACGAACTGCTGAGCAGTACACACGTCCCTTGGTTGATAATCGGATGTCACGCCTACGCCAAAGATGGTGTAAGTCAGCGAAAGCAGCTCGAGCTTTTTGGTTCCTGTTATAACTGTAGGGTATCGAATGAAGAAGTTTTCACCTTATTCTGTCTGCGCCTGAACTAATCTGCCTATCTGCTCGTCGTACCTTCCGATTTAGTAAAGCACGCAAATATCAAAAGACAAAGGCTGGACTGTGACTGTGTATTGAAGAGCAACAACGACAAAGAAAGCCATGGTATTTATACATTTTACAACAATATGGACAGCTAACAGCATTTGAAATAATTTATCTTAATAGCCAATAACAAAGTGCGTGAGAGATGATAATATACCATATATACAAGATTAACGGTCACTACCAAAATGTGTGAGAATGATAATATACCATATATACAAAATTGGCAGTCAATACCAAAATGTGTGAGAATGATAATATACCATATATACAAAATTAGCAGTCAATACCAAAATGTGTGAGAATGATAATATACCATATATACAAGATTAACGGTCACTACCAAAATGTGTGAGAATGATAATATACCATATATACAAAATTAGCAGTCAATACCAAAATGTGTGAGAATGATAACATATCATATATGCAAGATTAAACAGTCAATACCAAAATATGTGGGATCCTATCAGTTCCGTGCTGAGATTTCGTCGCCAATCAGTCCGTTGGTGCTGATACAACTTCCCAAATAGGTGTAAGCAGAGTTTGAGTCCCCTATTTTAACCAAGTTTCTATTGAAAATAGATGTACTGTGATGAGAAGTTAGGTTCATGCCATATCTCACAGGAACCTAATTCAAAGGTTATTGAATGATGTGATCTTCCAAACAAACAAGTTTTGTGTCTTATATTATACGGGATCTAATGTAAACGAGGTATCTGTTACAACATGATGTGTGCCTTTTATTTATCCAGCTCATGTTTTGTTATTCAGAGAAATATCTTCTAAGTACTTGCATTTTAATAGATTTATTGAGTCCTAATCCAATTACCTTGATTGTCTTTCAGGCTCGTCTCCGTCGTGCACTTATGTCAGGTACAATAAGACCAGAATCTGCACAAAGTCTTGTTGCTTCAGTATCTGCTGGAATGGCAAAAGCTGGTCCTGATCAATTAATAGATCTAATTGAATCTACTGATTCTGCTCTAACACAAGAACTTGGTGATGGAAATCATCAACTTATTCAAATAATTTGTAGTAGAGCGTCATTAGGTGCACGTGCTATCCGCGAACGACGTAATCTACACAAAGCTACTCGTGATGCATTGGGTGTAGCATGGAGTGGTCCAGTTAAGAAAAAGTCGGCGTTAGATGATCAACGTGAATTATCTTTAGAAGTGGAAAGCTCCAGTGTCAATGAAGATATTGCATTTAAGCAACCGTGTCAAACAAAAAGGCGCAAAAATGAAGGTAATATTGTTAGATAGATTAACTTTTAACAGTAATTAGTAGTACTTTGTTGTTTTACTCATGACTTTATTTCCTTAAATACTCTATCAATGGCTAAAGAAATCTGCGATCCAGTACTCAATCATTGAATTGCATACTTGTATTTACTGTCATATCCTATTTAAGCCAATCAGATCTTATGTTGATGATGTGTTTATCTTACCGGTGAACGGACAGTTCAGGATATCAACTTATTTCATAAACAATATTATAATCCCAGAATTGCTTTTCGTCACCACTGCCTTTATGTTCTTACATAGTACGTGCTGTGTAATGTTAAGATTCCAAGTAGAGAATAAAGTGATGGGATGAAGACTGTTGGTAAAATGGCTGGAATGGTTTTCACGGATGGCATAGAAGTATTTACTCTTTAACATGTTTGAAATATTGAACGTATCCACTAGTCGTCATTGGACTGTTTCATTCCCTAAGTCGAAACACCTTTATGCTTTTCTTCTTTTTTAATTATGCCAGCTTTCTCTCAAAGTGCTTTGCACTATATATGCAAAGGTGTAGGTCATTATGTATCTATAGAACAGAAATCTAAATTACATCAAACTAAAACAATCTTTGCGTCTTCTTTTTTGTAGAATCGGATGGAGAACAACACAAGAAGAAAAAGCGTCGAAAGTGTTGATGTGCTGTAATGGCATTTTATTATCACATGTATTTTTTTATATATGATAATTGCAAATAAACAACGTTGTATCGATTAATCGAGTTAGATTTTTATTCTACAATAGCAGTTCGGTTATCTTTAAGCGATGGTATATCGTTTATTTTTAAGGTGTTTAGAAACGCTGTCAAGTTTATCAAGTAGTTAAACTGACAAATTTTTCCAATAGACAACGAACTATATTTTCTAAAGACTGGTGAGGCGAAAGCTGATTCGAACTTAAAACGCATTGATTGTATGTTGAATGCCTAGAGTAGTCAGTCGACTACATAGATTGAATATTATGAAATTTCTAATCTCTTTGGGCTTAAGAATTGTTAAAATAACTTCCAATACTACTGGAATAAAACTGTATTGTATTATATTGTTTGGTTTGTGAAGTTCTAAGTATACTACTGTACACAAAGTCTTCAGCCTTGTTAGGTTGAAGAGTCAAGAAAGTAAAGCAAAGCAATTATAATTTACCTGTGAGTTTTTCCAACGATTGTCCTACATTGTATCTGTGTATCTCTGTTGTATCAGAATCCCAAGAGCAACAAACCAATCGCTTTTAAATGACTCCCAACTCTGCTTACCTGAACAAACATGAATTTATTCAATCTGCGCTTTTTCGCATAAATCTTTACTGTCCTGCGTTGTTTAACAGTAGTCTCTTTCATATTTTGAATTAAAAGCATTCAGCGTTCCCTCGTCTTAAGTAAATTTCCGTCTGTAGTGCTAGATTATGAAGTATGTTTTGATATAAGTTGTAGAATCGAACATTTTCCTCTTTCAAGTATCATTTGAAAATCTCTGTACTGTCTTCCGAATTACAGAGCTCGCCAGCATATAATCTGTCAGTGAAGCAAGTAATAATGAGATTGACCGTAGACTGTTAATAAAGTAAGTAGACTGACTGAAATGAGTAGGACATGTGTTACTCTGAGGAATATTGGTGGACATAGGATTAGATTGATAGTGTAAGGGAAGCTTAGGTCAGCAAATGGCAGTAATACTTGATTACTGATAGTTTCAATGCTGTGTATAACCATACCTTTTTATCATGCAAATCTCTTATCAACATGTGGACACTTTTCGATGAAATTACTGGCAATAGTAAGCGATGAAATATTTTTCCCTCTTATGATGCTAACGCTCTTAATCAGTCTTTTATACGCTCTCCTTCTACTATAATTACTTCTAACGTTATTAATCATGTAGCTGATAACTTTCATGACTTTAACACACTCGATGTTCTAAAATGTCTTAAAACGCTTAAGCCCTCACGTAGTCTTGGTCCTCATGGTGTACCTGCCTATGTTCTAAAACAATGTGCAGATGCTTTATGTTCTCCGCTTACTAACATCGTAAATGCTTCTTTTTCCCAAAACGTTTTACCTGTTGCATGGAAAGACATTAAAATAGTCCCTGTCCCTAAACCTGGAAATAGCAAAAATGTAAAATTCAGACCCATCGCCATTACTTCCCTGTTTCTAAAGCTGATAGAAAAACTAGTACTTCTTGAACTCGAACCCTCCCTTAAAAGCTTTGAAGATCCCAAACAATTTGCCTACAGACAGGGTAGGAGTACTTTAGACGCTGCAGCCGTCTTACATAACAGTATCGTCTCATCATTAGATAAAGGTGCCAAATACTTTCGCTCCACGTTTCTCCACTTCACTTCTGCTTTCGACTCTGTTCCTAGATGTCTCTTGCTAAATAAGCTCTCGATGACACAAACTGGTTGCATTCCTACTTCTTAAACAGAATGCAGTACACTGTATACAAAGGCAAATCCTCTACTGTGCTCACTGAAGCTGGTGTCCCCCAAGGTGCTGTACTTTCGTCACTTCTCTTTTCTTTCTTTCTACACGACCTACCATCTTCAAATGACATTAATCTTGTCAAATATGATGACGATCTGACTGTATCTTTGCCTGTCAAATATCAAAGTGACTGCTGCAAATTAAATGGCTTTTTATCAGAAATCAGCCAATGGTCCAAGGAAAACGGTCTAACCTTAAATCCCTCTAAATGCCAAACAGTCAGTTTCACCTTTAGGCATAAATCTGACCTAAACAAACTGGTTAGCACTCACGAGGCGTGCAACATAGATGCCACTGAAATAGAGACCAAGTCGAGAATTAAATATCTTGGCGTCATTCTATCTGCTGATCTTTCCTGGTCGTCTCATATCTTGATAATTTCCAAGAAAATATTCCGTCTTACCTTCTACATCAAGAAGTTAAGACATTCTGGTATAACCCAACCCTTACTCCTACGATTCGTTAACTCTCGCATCCTGCCTATTATTCTCTATTGTTCCGCCTTAGTTTTTCCAGGGCTACTGAAGAAAGACTATACCTTATTACGCAGGATGTTAAAGGTTGTCAGCAGGGTAAGCAACGTGCCACTTAACGAGCTTGTTAATATTCTGGTCGACAGGCATTTGAACTCATGTGAAAAATGGGCTAAATCCATTCTATCTAACTCACTCACACCACCCTCTTCATTCACAACTCTCCCTTTGTATCTCATCAGGCAGAACCAGAAGCGTATATAAAAAACTATATGCTCGCACTAGTAAGTACAAAAACTCAACCATACCCTACTTAGCTCGTGTTCTGTGCGATAAAGAAAGCATTAGGCGTGATACCTATAACTTATTAAATAGTCAGTAGAACAACTGGATCTCGTTTTTCCAACTCATATCATTTACAGGTACAACGTTTTCTTTCTTTTCCTTTTCTTTTTTTTGCTGTGCTGCTTTGTTCCTCTCTTCCTTACAAACTCTATGTATAACATTCTTTTTCGTTTTTTCACACTGTATATCTCGATCTTTTTGTTACCGCTTACGCCAGTAAATATGCTAGCATCTGCTTTTCTAACGCCTTCAAACACTGTTGAATTTTGGCTTGCTACCGACATGCCCATATCTTATTGTGAAAACTAACTGAGATTACCCTAAATCTATGTATAATTTTATTTATTGATAATGTGCTAACTGGATGCAATACTGTAGTAAAAATGCTGAGAATTCCATTCTATATCACAAGTACTGTTTTGGAATAAAGCAAGTTATTATTAGTAGTAGTATGGGCTGTATGAAAAGGTTAAGATCTCGAGAAGCTAAAAATTAACGGTTCGAGACTGTTCGTGAAGTAGCTGAATACCTTTTACTATGGCACTGATGCATTCAATCTTCACTGAGTAACTTCCTTTCCCACACATGTTTGTCCGTTTTCATCAATTACCTGTTCTTTTTATTAAAAGCACTTTTAATATAAATAGCAAATCGAAGCGATGCATGGTCTTGAAAAGCTCTATGCTGGTTTGTTTGCCCTACAGTCAAACATTTCACAAAATGTTACTAACAAGTGCCTCGTATTTATGGAGGAAATAAATAAATACTGTTGTTGTATGAGCACTCAAGTTTCATTTTACGTTCACAGGTAGCATAAGTTGAGATTTTTACCTAATTTCACTCTGGTTTCACTATCTGTAAATTTACTAAAGTAGAAGCATTTCTCTAGATAAATAACTTTTCCTCAAAAAAAAACAACTGTTGATTGCGAAATTGAATGTTGAATAACATTAGGACTCCTCAAGTGCCTTGTCCTCTTAATTAGTAAAAGTAAGAAAACTCAGTGTTATCAAGAAACTGTTGAAACCACAGAAGACTGAAAGGGAGCTTTTCTGACATTATTTGCCCAACCCGAGTGAGTTGCAATAATAACAAGACTCACAAAATGTGTGTATGGTATATATTTTAACTATAATCTATAATTACAAGGGAAGTAATTAATTAGAGATGATTTTACTCATCATCCACAACTTCAGTGCCCTAAAGACATTTTAGGATTAATTATTAGTTTACAATGAAATAAAATGAGAATTACTTGCAACAAGCACATCCCTCCGAGGTTTTGATCACGTAAGTGTAGAACCATATCTTGTTTGTACCTGTTCACATCAGGTACAGACCACTAAAAACATTCAGAAATAATAAGCGAAACTTACTCTACCAAACCCTGTATAAACAGTTAACTTTATTAAGGGTTGAGTGATAACAATAGTTGCTAGCATAATTCCGACAGCTGGAAGAATTTCATACCACATGCTTAGTGATGCTGAAATATGTGGAAAAAGGCAAACATCTTAAGCATATGACACAAATATTGAATGAGTCTCAGCCAGTGGATTTTAAATTAAACTAAGTGGGTAACAAGATATCATGAATAGTCATTTAATCTATCTGATGAAGAGATCGCTCAGAACTACGTCATATATCAACCAGCTTACACTGCAGGCGTAATTCAGAAAAATCAACCCAGTTTAGTTTCGTCGTTAGAACTCAACTATCAGGAACACATTTCTTACTAATAACCTGTCACGTAGCAGGTGATGATATTAACTAGTTTTCAGGCTGAAGTGAAACTAAACAAGCCCCAAGACACGCTGACTGAAAGCTTAACTATAGCCAATGAGCACACCTGTACCAACAAAAATTTCAAGGTAGTATTAAGCTCTACTGAAAGGACCCAACTGTTTGCCAATAGAAACAAACGTTTCTCAGACTTATATGGACTATCCAAGCAGCAAGATGTGTGAATTGGACAGTTGCGAAGACAGTTTCAACGGGTGAAAGTTTATCATCGGGGTGAAATACAACGGTCCTAATAGCCACACCATACAGTACAGTACTATCTAGATTTATTTAGATCTAGTTAAAAAATTAACGCTGTGCAAATATCGTACCTAGTGGACAACATAACAAAGACTACATAACAGAATCAGATATACTGACAGATCTTAGAACATCCTATTTCTCTTGTTATCTTTTTTACAACTTTGTAAGCTTAATTTCACCTTATTCCAACTAAATCCCCAAGGTATGTGGTCAGGTCGATCGGGATGCCTACTATATTTTAAGTGGCGATAGTAAAGAATGGATACCACAGTCAAATGCCCCTGAAATAGCC